CATTCCTGACTCGGTTTCTTCATCTTTTGTATTATAAATACTTTAACTATATTTTCTTTATTTTTCACTAATTTATTGTCATGATGATTATTCTCATCATGTTCACTGACCTGAGAAGTAGAAACGGAAAAGGAAAATAATCTTAATCCTCTATTAGAGGTGAAATAGAAAGAGTGGAATATAACCGAGATAATTCAGATGTATGATTATATTATTATTAACTAAGAATGGATTATTCCTCATTTGTATATAAACATGTTCTTCAGGAATTGTTCAATATTACTTACTTCTTAATTTGTTTGTAACTGAATATTACCCGTTCTTTCTATATAACTCATTGTTCTGTAATAGGTATTTCATCCCATTTAATTGTCCTTTTTATGGTAATTTTTTATTTATTGAGATTAGTTTCAATTAAAACTGTTTCATTTATATTTTTATCAATTAAATTACAATTAAGATTCAAAGTCGTCAATGGTTATAATAAATTCTATAGCAAAACTTCACCTTCTCCCCTTTTCTCGTCTCAGCCGCCTCCTCCTAAATCCTAAAAAAAAATTCTTCTTCCCCCTTCTTCTCATCATGGGAAGATGGGAGAAATAGTTTTTTATTCAATTTTTTTTTATTGCTTTAATGTTTTTTAATAAGTGGGATTGTCCAAAAGTTTTAGTCCATCAGTAGATCGTAATCTACTAATCGTGTTGGAATCTTTCAGTAGATATTAATCTGCTGTCATTCGGAGTTGTTCGTCGATCGATGGTCATTGGATTGTTGATAGTGGTTCTTGTCCAAGAAAATGCAACCATCATAGATCTAATCATGAGATCATGAAATGGAGTTTTAATCAGAAGAAAAGTGATATGTTCGAGATTATAATTTGGTACGCAACATGTCCAACAATTGAAGAATTTAGTCGAATAGATCTAGATCTAGAACAGTTGAATTGTAGTAAAGACAATAGTTTTATATTAAATTAAATATTATACATATAGGCAGTTGTCGTATTTTAGTAGCTGTATCTTTTTCCTGTCAGTTGCTGGGCGAATTCCAGTAAAGTTAATACAGAGTCTTTTTATTTCAAAAAAAAATAAAATTCTATAGCATATACTAATCAATTCTGATCCAGTCATATAATTGTATCCATGAGTAGTTTTCACATTTATGTTAATGCATCAAGTATATTAATATCACTTAATGATAAAGAAAGGTTAGCATATACAAATCAATTCACATTAAAGATTGTTTCCAATTTAAGTTTCTAGCATCCCTTAAGCAAGCTATGAAACTTTCCGGCAATCCTTCTAAAGTCAAAGGTTTGAAAGCAATTTGTACCAAATCAACATAAATAAATTTATATAATTAACCATATCTATTGATATCATCTGATTACAATAATTTGATTTCCATCTATCCTCATTATCTAGAGAAAGATTCTTCATTAGTTTTTAACTATTTATTTTATCCTAATTTTTTAAAAGTACTTAACTGATATATAATTTTCAATTCAATCTTTGGAATAGTCCATTTATTAAGTTCTTCAAAATTTTCAGGAATATCATATTCTTGTTTAAGACTATTTTTAACAATTTTCTTGTTTCTTTGAATTTAATTCATTTGAATTTAAAGATGGTTGTTGGAATAAGAATCAATGATCTTATAGATTTTATAGAAATAAATTTCAATGATCTTTATTAGTGTCAAAATAAATGTAGCACAAAAGTGTCATAGAAGATCTTACGCCCCATAGACAAGGATATTAATGGAGTTAATTTAATCTTTCATAACAATATGCTTTAATTTTTTATAAATAAAGTAGTGACGTTAAATGCTACATAATGAAGCCTAGGAAAGGTTAAAATATTCATGCCAAGCCTAAAATACCACCTAATCAAGGCTAGAGCAAGGTTACATGTTCATACCTTATGGTATAAGTAAATTGGTATACTTTATGTCAAAATTGTACTAAAAGGTATACTTTATCATTATTCTATTACTTTGTGTTACACTTATTTTGACACCGATAAAGATCATTGAAATTTATTTTTATAAAATCTATATATACTATATCAAAATAGATGTCAACAAAAAGAGAGTGAAATGACACATGTCTCTACCTTTTAGTTGTTTTTCTTGAATAAAACACCATAGTCTTAATATTACCAAATGGATCACAAGAAATAACTATATTTATTTAAATTACCATACCATCCAACTGGTCATATATATTTGTCATACTTCTAATAACTTCTTTTCGCCTTAAATAATAATAAATTAGAAATATAAAACTTATTCTTCTTATTTATATGCTTAAAAAAATAACATTATACAACATTTCGACTTATTTTTTAAAAAATTATGTAACTAAGAATCCTGATATATACCACAAATAAATTTGAATGAATTAATTTTAATTTTTTCGGTAATACCGGGAACCCCACCAGAGACAGGTAAATTTACGCCCACTGCAATAGCCTGCAAACCACAGTGGGAGGTAACCCAGCCTATGCATGTCGGGATGACAAGCTTGGGTGCGAATCGGAGTTTCATGAGTGGGTTTTGCCATGACAAACCATCTAAAGGTGCCAATAGACAAGGTTTAGAGCCACCCCCTCACTCTTGTTGGAGGAGGGGTTTAAACTCATGACCTCTTCTTGAGAGTAAGGATGATTTTACCATGATTTTACACCTCATTCTGAATTAATTAATTTCGACTTAATATGTTTTTGCTCAAATATAAACAGAAAAATAATATAAATTTATTAACCAACAAAATAAAATATGAACTTTTTACTCATCTCAATAATACGTCTTGTCTTTACAAAATTATTCAAATACGTAAAAAAAATTCCATTGGTTATCCTCTTATTTAATGTTATTATTCAAGTGCCTCTCTTACGCTGCCTTTAGAAAACGATCTATTCTAATTAATATATATATATATATATATGTAAATGTATATTCATATAATGAAACAAAACTATTTTGATATTTTTTGTATTACCCAAAATAATTATATCATATTTATATTTATTGTATAATATTGTATATAAACATGCCGCATTATTTCTGCGGTAAGTACATAACATTAAGACGCTAGTTATGTGAACTTGAAAGGAGAACCATTTAAGTAATGTTACAAGGATTGTAACACATAAGTATTGGAGAAAAATTTTCACTCATCTATAGACATGGATTGAACTAAAAAGACTTAGAGTGGAGATGCTGATGATGTCATTGAAGGGTGTTTGTCCACTTTTTATTTTTTTATTTATTTATTGTTTCTTTTACTATAAATGGTTGGATATATACATGATCATGGTTAAGCTTTTAACTATGAATCAGATTAGAACCGACCCGTCGGTTTTCCATAAGTGGCGGTTTATTGAATCGTAACCGGCCCATTTAGTCAAAAGGCCAGTTATGATTCAAGCATTTGAGGAACTCTAAACCATTAATTTTAAATCAATTAAGTACCGATTTGATTAGAATATGTATTTAGAAGCTAGTATTTATATAATTTTTTAATTATTTTTAGCCTTTATACTTTTTTATTTCCCAGCTGCTAGTAAATGTTAAAGAAAATTAAAATGGCAATCTATCATTTTGAGTTAGTCTTAAACACTATTTAATGTAGTTAATTTTTAATTAATAAAATCCGGATATACTCACTAAGTACACCTAACTAAAATAATTCTTAGTTCTTCTTTTTTGCCATACTAATGAATCTATGGCCAATTTGTATCAATGTATTCGTAATTGTAGTATTGTGTCATTGTATGTATGGTTTGTTAATTTCAATAGTTTTTTTTTTATTAAAAAGATAGATAAAATTTTCATAAACTTAAAACTTTTCTAAAATCACAAATCAATAAATAATTGTCACATCTCACTTTCTTTTTAACTAATTTTTTATTTACTAATTGATTTTTATTTTACTTTTTAAGTCAATTATTTTCTTTGTTTTTTCTTTTGTGAAAAAATACAACGATAACAAATTGAATTAGAATTGTACAAAAAACAGATTCAAATTTTAAAAAATCAGGTTGAAACCATCAATAAACCAAAGCAAAACTTGCTTGGAATTGGAGGTTTAAGAACCACAACCGAATACTTAATGTCAGTCAAAAAGTTCGTGTATTTCTTGAACCATAGATTTAAGCTAAAAGGTTTCACTATTTCCTAAACCGTGAACTCGTAAACCGACAATTCATGAAATGGAATTAGTGGTTCATGAATCAGAACCAGCGGTTCTCAATCGTGGCATGCTTAACTGGATAGGCTCTGAATCTATCTATATTATACATATTAAAATATAGTTTTCAAATCTTACATGTCTTTTAGAGAGCTACATGTAGTCACTAATTGGTCTTTCGTAAAAAAATATTATAACTAGAATAAATTAATTTGTAAACATGCTTCGATGTCAAAATTATTTACCACATTCTATCCTATCATACATTAATTAAGATAACTATTCATACAATCAAAGAAACATCGATTCTGATAGTGAAATTTCAAGCAAAATTCGTCGATCTTATTCACACAAATATTCGCAGAAAAATGTAATTTAAGATGATTTTTTGAAATTTTTATTTTTGTCTATAAAATTTCAAAAACGCACCTGAAGGTACATAAATAATTACACTGTAAAATTTGCACCTAATGATTCCTTCAAAAAGACAAAAAGTCCTTCAAAAAAATAATTTTTTCTGTCAAAATTAGATACTCAAACTTTTCACTGTATGCATTTTTTTATATGCTTTCTATTTTGGACTATTTTTTTTTTAACAAGGTTGTAATTTTTATAATTTATTTTGGACGAGCAGCGTTCTGGAATAATAAATCTAATAATTTCATATACATTCCACTCAATTATAAAAATTTAACAACAGAAAAATAAATACCCCGTACCCACTGTATCCTAAACCCTCGACCTTTTAGCTTAGAACACCTCCAATTTGTGTTTCTTTTGGCGCTGAGCTGGGCGGAGCACAGCCAAAATGACGATCCATTCTTTAGTGATTCAAAAGCTCCTAAGCACGAACGCCCATTTGGGGCGGCGAGTGGCAGAACACCACTTCAAAATTTACGCTTGCGGATCCCGTAATGGCATGACCATCGTAGATTCCGACAAGACGCTAATATGCCTTCGCAGCGCCTGTAACTTCATCGGCAACCTCGTCCGGGCGAAAGCCCGGTTCCTCTTTGCGAATACCAACACCCTTTGCGACGAAATCATCGAGGAAATGACCAAAACCATTGGCATCAAGAAAGATACTTGCTGGCGTCTTGGAGGCTATTTAACAAACAGTTCGAGTCCCAGGAAGTTTCGTGGCCGGAATAAGAAGTTCAACTTGGGGGCTGCTTCTCCTCCTGATTGCCTTGTGATCTTTGATACTGAGAGGAAGTCTTCTATCATTTCGGAGGCTGCCAGACTGCAAATCCCGATTGTTGGCCTTGTTGATTCCAGTATGCCTTGGGAGACTTACAAGAAGATTACTTATCCTATTCCGGCGAATGATTCCGTGCAGTTTGTGTACTTGTTTTGTAATTTGATTACCAAAACTGTTCTGTACGAGCAAAGGAAAATGAAAGCTGCATTGGGTACTCATGATCAGGAAGCAATGGATTCCAAAGTTGACACTGAGTAAGAGTCTCAGATGAGCTATTCAATTTTCTTTTGGTTCTTTCAATTCAATACTGCCTTGATATTTTTGCTCTGGATTTGATGCCAACTTAAAGCTTCTTGGTACATAGGATATCTATAAATTTTATTTTGTTTATATCTTTAGCCCTCATATTCTGTGAGCTTGGTGTTACCGTTAGAATCACTGAAACCTTCTAGCAGCCTAAGATTATTATTTTTGTTTGGAAAGTAACGGAAAAGTTACACTTATGTGATTGGCTGAGGATTGTTGCTCCTGGTCATGCCACTCTCAACTGTTATCTTACTATAAATTGAGCAACTAAGGGAAAGGCAGCTCAGCTCTGTGCATATCTCTTCAATGGTTCTCTATTAATTTTCCATGTATAATAGCACGGACGTGATGGTGTATAACCGGAAAGTATTTTCCGTATGATGTGTTTTATGTTTGGACTTGATTCTTTCATGTGCTGAGAACAGACTCTATAAGGAAAAAAATGCATAAATTTGAACTGCGTGTTGGAATCCAGAGTCTCGTCTGACCATCTTCCTTTGTCTGTTACCTCTGTCCATGAGCTAGATTAATTTAGAGTTGCATTTGTCCAGATGCCAAATGCCAATTTAACTGCACCGTGTCTACTTACCAGGCAAAATTACACTCTATTTCTTTCCTCGAATTCCTGTCTTGCAAGATCGTATGGGTTGATTGATTAAGTTTCACTTAGTATTCATGGATTTTTTGTTCATATTCCAATTTTAACTGCACTGTCCCTACTTACCAGACAAAATTACACTGTATTTCTTTCCCCAAGTTCTCTTGAAAGATCATGTTGGTTGATTAATTAGGTTTCACGTTGTATTCATGGATATTTTGTTCCGTGGTCTTTTCATTGTATCTTCAAGTTTCAATCTGTTTGACACTTAAAGTTTACTTGGTCACGTGTTTCTTATGCAGAATCTTCTTCTTTTTATTTTCATGTCAGGTTTTCATTAATTACTGACTCTCTGATTTTGTTCAATTTGTGCCCATCAAAGGGAGGAAACTTTGCAAGTTGACACTGCTTACAAGAAGGGTAAAATATTTGTGCTACCTTATGAAGCTCTGCAGCCTCCATCTGAAGGTAATGTCTTTGTCATCCAAAACTTTTCGCATGAGTTCAGCATCCTTGCCCGGATAATTGTGGCAGTGAAAGTTTTCCTCGAATCAAATTTCTTGTCAATCTCAATCCATTCTTTGTGTTTTTTTTTTTTTTGAAATTGCAGATGTCTCAGATTTAAAGCTACTTCTGGACAAAGTAGTAGTGTTAAAATACAATGGTAGTTTGGGGACAGACATGGGACTTACCGGGCCCAAGTAAGATACTTCTGATACTAAAACTTTGCCTGTTAGTGATTATGTGTTCAAACAATCACTGATTGCTTGCTTATCTGGATTGATCTGACCTTGCGATCCGTGTATCATTCCCACAATTGCATGGTTGGTGTTTTCGTGGTCCGAGTTGTAGTGTCGATTAACATGAGAGTGTTCAATTACCTGCTGGATAACTGGATAAAAATTATGAAGCAAGCATTTATGAAACATTCACTAACAAATAATCATGCATTTTTTCTTCCTAGAAATAAAGCAGATCTGCAATATAAATTACAATTATAATTTCTTTCATGTTACTTGTAAAAATTGATATTTGGCTAAAGAATGTCAAATTGATTACTTTTAAATCTTGATATGACCACACTGAATGAGCCTTTACCCATGCTCTTCTGAAGGTCTACCTTGGAATTGAAGAACGGAATCACATGTCTGGATTTGGTGATCAATCAAATTGAGGTCATTTTCTGAGATATTTTATTAATAACGATTTATATCCACCTGCTTTTCTCTGAGGTTTCTTAATTCTGACAATACTATTTTTCTAATTTCAGCAACTCAACAAAAGATATGGATGCAACATTCCCTTGCTTCTGGCAAATTCAATCAATACCCATGATTCCACTGTGAAGGTTCCAATTTATCTTCTTACTCTGTGGTTGAGTTTGGAATTGTGGGAAATACGTCAATGAAAAGTTTTCACTTTGTAGGCTTTGCTGAGACACTCTGGCAAGAATATACACTCGTTTCTCCAGGTTATTAAAACTCATTTGAATCTTGAATTTTGTTATCTGCTTCCTTTCTGTTGGTAATGCTGATATGATTACTTGCTGGAAATGTCAATTTTTTGACGCAGAGCCAAGAACAAGTTCATATTGCTGAAGCTCAGCACCAGAATAGAATGTACGTCTTCTTACTTTAGGTTGCTGGGATGTACATGTTTTTTGAGCTGGTCACAAATTGATTTTGTTAAAAGTTGATGGTATATCACGTGAACTAGTAAATCAATAGAGAGATCCAGAATGTCAACTGATTTCACTAAAGTGCATAAACTCATTGTTATTTGCTACAAATGCTTCTATCTCATGAATTTTTTTACCAGTCTTTTTCATTCATCTTGGTCTATGAACTTCCTATCAAGTGTCGAAGGAAAAAAATACGGAGTATATGTTTTATTTCTCTGATAATTTTTTGAACTATCATTTTCCTGTGTTTCTGGGAGGTTTCAGTGTGTGACTTTAACCATATTTTGTGTGAAATATATTTAACCGTTACAGGTGCGCAACCAATCAGTTTGACGTTTATCTGTCCCTGAAGAACAGCGGCAAGTTTGATGAGTTATTGTCTCAGGTACATGTACTTCTTTAGTCAGAGTACATTTTTCCATTTTAATGATGAGATGCGAGGAGCAAACTTAAAGTAGAAGCTAGGAAGGATAAGAATGAAACGTGATTCCATAGTTCAATGAAAAGTTAAATATGGAAGTGTCATTTTATTGATCATAGGAACAGCGATTGGGTAATAGATTAAGTGTAGAATTCTCTAGGCATCGACCGAGTGCGTCTAAATTTTTTTGATGTTTAGGATCCCATTGAAGGGAAAGTGCAATCTCTTTACCTTGTGACTGTAATGTACTGCTGAAATTAAAAGGAATTTTTTCCCCCTACCCATAAGATAGGAAACACTTTATGATCATTATGCTACTTGGCTAAATACTCATATGCCAATACACTGAACTAGATGTTGATAGTAATCCTTGAGAAAGAAATTTGAGTAGTTCAAAAGATGATAAAAGCAGAAAACTTGCTGATTAACATGGTTTAGCTATGTGCATATGATACCTCTACATGCTTCAGCAAAGCCATTAAAATGGAGAATCCTTGATACAAGTTTCAGATGGGGGAAGGGAAGATCTGTATGAAACAAGACCATGTGTATTAAAACACTATGTTTGCTTCTGATCAATATAGCTGTGTCTACGTAATGGGATAAAGGCTGGATTCCTGCTGTTTATTTTCTAAGCTTTTCATTGATAACGTTGTTTCCATCTGTTTTCTGTCATGCAGGGCAAGGAGTATATACTGGTGCTGAACTCAGACAATTTGGCTAATGTTGTTGAACCAAGTATCCTTTTTAAAGTTCTGGAGGATTTTACTTTCTCAACTTTTCATGATCAGATCTTAGGATTTTCCATTTCAGACTAGAGTGCAACATTTTGGAGTAGCTCCACTCATCTGACAGCCCATTTCCTTAATTCCTGTTTCAGAAATACTCAACCATTTGGTACAAAACAATATTGAAACTTGTATGGAGGTATAATGATCTCCCTGGAATCTGAACACAGTTTAATCTTGTAGAATCTCCTAAGCCTTCTGTCTTTAGGTAATGACTGCTGTGTCTGACGAGGAAGAAATGCAGAGCACATCTCATCAAGGAAAATATGAGGTGGGTTTGGCTTCTTTTTTTCTGAGGTCTCATGCTATGATTAACTGATGTCTTTGCTTTTATTCAATTCTGTAACAATAATTTATTTTGAAGGATGATGCAAATTTGTTAAGAACTTGATATGAGTTATGAATATCTCCTTACAGTTATTAAGTTCTATAACAATAATTTGTTTTGGAGGATGATGCAAATTTGTTAAGAACTTGATATGAGTTATGAATTAGTTTTCAAGGAACTGGTACCAGATCGAGCTTGAACCATGGATGAAATACTCAAATTTTGACCTTAGAGTTGACTGATTCTAATGATACTTCTAAATTGTTTTGGATATAGTCATCAAACTTGCAACTCTTACTGGTGCATCAATCCATGGTTTTCATATTGTGCGTGATGTATTTAGTTTTAAATCAACGAGTGGTATATGCTGTCGGAACTCATGAAAATGGAAGAATGCTTGATGCAAGGTAATATGGAAGCAAGGAAATAGTTCAAAATTTAGTTTCCCCTTTTTTGACATGTAACTGTGCTATACCAGTGCTGATTACTATAGAATCCATGTTCTGTTAATGCTATCAAAAGAAAGAATTGCTAGCAAGTATGTCTGACTTTGAAGCTCAAACTTGAGGGTTAACTGCCTGATACTTGATAGAAGTTGTTTTCCCTCATCTCTTGTGTATGTTCTTTTCTGTTAGACATTATGTGGAACCTTTTCAAGTCCAAGACGATAATTTCTCAATTTCTATCTCTTAATTATTTGGCCCTGTATTTAATTTTTCTTTGCATAACTTATTGGAAAGCTAACATTTAAATCTCGATACTTTCCCCCCCTTTTTGCTGGCGTTTGAAGTCAAAGGAGAATCTAAAATTTACCGATACAATGTAAGTTATCTCCTTCGGCAAAGTCTGTTTGTGATTCTTTTATTCTCCTTGAGTTGGGACTTGCACTTTCTAATTAGTTCTCTTCTTCAACAGTTGGGTGAGCATGATTTCCATCGAGAGGCTTATGCTAAGATATTCTCTCACTGAGAAATACGCCGAATCAGAGGTATCCTTGCAACTCCTTTCAAGTTGATAGTTACACTTTGCATGCCATATGTTATATATATGATCACATTTTACAGAAAATTGGTGTTCTTATTGTCATTTCTTGTTCCAGTTTTTTGATGGAGCATCTGCAATAAATGTCCCTGGTTCAAGATATCGTCCAGTTGAAGGAACATCTCATTTGCTGCTTTACCAGGTCATGCTGGCCTTTGTTACTTTTAATTTTATGCTTTTGGTTTTGTGATCTGAGGAACTTTTCTATTGAAGAAAATGGTTTTGTCACAGTCTGACCTGTACAGTTTTGACGAAGGCATTCCTATCCGAAACCCAATGAGAGAGAATCCCGTTGATCCGATGATCGAACTAGGACCAGAATTTGCACATGTATATATACTCAGAACCTATAATCTCTTTCTACATGATAATATGTCCATTTTGTTTTGGAGCTGAATGGTTCATTTTAACAGGTTGATGACTTCCATAGACGATTCAAGTCCATGCCCAGCATTGTTGAGCTCGAAAGGCTTAAGGTGATTGGTGATGTTTGGTTTGGGAGTGGTGTTACCCTTAAGGTACAGACCTCTCTCTCTCTCTCTCCCTCTATCTGTCTCTCTCTTCCCCCCCCCCTCTGTGCCCGTTTTTCTATTCCAAAATTAGAGAAATTGATAATGTAATCCTCTATTTTGATGTCTCAAACAAGTGCACGTCATAGGCCGTGCTTAATTACTGTATCTCATGTAAGGGTTGATTTTAAATTTTAGGAATAGAGTTCTCAAATTAATCACGGAAAATATTGACGGGCTTCAGTTTTACTTGGATCATTTATGGGAAAGTGAAATCTGAATGCTGTTACACACGTCTCTTTGAATTTCTGTTGTTGGACTCTGCAGTTTCAACTGTAGAGATCTGTGTGTTGGGTTCTTTTGGATGTTATCTCTCTTTTACTAAATAAGAATGAGTATCTTTGAATTAATGAAAGGAGAATCATTTAATGGTGGTATGTTCTTGAATGAGCTACATTCAGACGATATGTGGACTATTTCGGAAGTAACTCGTGCTGTAAAAGGGTTTCAGATTAAGTGTTTCCCGTGTAAAGTGAAACTTATGTGGCTCCAATGTTAAGAAATGTTTACTGTATGTTCAAGAATAAAGTTTGTACTTAAAATTGGTCTTAGTCAATACATTGGGTCTTTTATAGAATACGTTGATACCAAAACAGCTCTCGCTGTGGTTGGTCCCTCTGATTGTCTTAAATCATTATGATTTTAGCCGTCAATTCTATTCTCATTCCTCTCAAAGCTGTACTACGGAGTTTCCGGAGGCTTTTGGGTTCGTCTGAATATCATTAGTCAGAGATCTGCGGGATAGTTATGAAATTTCTCGTGTATACTTTATGAAACTTATCATGCGGATCTGCCAAATCATTGACGCCACAGGGTGATTCTATTTTGTTAACACTGCTTAGTGTTTGGTTTTATTTTGTGCCCCTTTAGAAACAGAAGAACTGTGAACATTCTTTTCCTCTCATCTCAGTTTATCTGGCTTTTCATTTCATTTTATGCTGCCGCTAAGAATACTTTCCCTGGCATGGTTTGTCTTTTTGTAGGGGACAGTTATCATTCTTTCAAGTCCCTATGTGAAAATAGTAGTCCCAGATGGCACAGTGTTGGAAAACAAGGTGAGGATCATTGTCTACACCCTGTTAAAATTTCGGGGTTTCTTCTGTTGTTTTTTTTTTTTTGGCACTTTATTGTGTTGCTGAATGAGCTACTTTCGCATATTGCAGGTGATTTACAGGCAGGGTGACATCCCCGCATCTCAATGAAGATTGACACACTAAATTTGTTGTATTTGTATTTTTGTCATTTTTTTTTTAATTTTTGGATTTTAGGTTGTATTTAGGTCGATTTGTCCCTGAACACTAGTCCAAAAAGAGGTGGGAAAGGGGGAGAAGGAGCAATCCATTTTTGTAGTTCTTCACTTCGTTAAGTTGTATTTACTTCTCCGGAAGAGAAAATTTGTTGAGAAATAAATTGCTAGTACAAACAAAATACTCTATCCGTTCCAAAATTATTGTCCAGTTTGAGATTTTATTTTTAATATAATTTTGAAGAGTAAAACATAAAAGGCAGAAAAGAAAAAAAAATTGATACTCGTATCTTATTAATTTGCTACACTTAAAGGTGTATACAATCAAATATTTTCCGATTTAATTTGACTATGTACCTTTGCTTTGAATAATTATGTCTTAATTATTTATGAAATGAATAATTTATGTCTTCAATTTTTATTTTTATCTTTTATGAATGAGGTGTTTGTAGAATAAAAAGAATAAAGGCTGCACTTTAAGATTTATAACACCACGTAATGATTAGAATTATTCAAATGAAAAGTTTTATATACTAAAATATTTGACGAGTAATATATAAGTTTGTTAACCTCTTATTCCAACCGAGAAGCGCAAAGTCAATGTACAAAATTTTAGAAAATAAAATTGAGTTTGAAGATTGTATCTTTCTCATTATACTAACTTGATGAACTTCACATTCACATTTGAACATTCACTAGTTAACAATATTCTTTCAGAAAAACAGTCTATTTTTTTATTATATTTTTATAATTTAATAAGGTAAATGGTTTTTTTTTTTCTAGACGAAAGGAATAAAATTTGTTAAACAATCTATAAATCATGTAAGTGTTCGTTACAAAATTAGAATCGTTACAAATTTGTCGACGTGAGTGCTTTTCAGATTTTTTTTTTTTTAATGCTATTATGTTAGTAAGTGAAAACTACGCTTCTTTTTTGGAAGATACATTTAATTTTATATTCCCTCCATCCCATAATTATTGTCCAGTTTGGACTTTCATTTTTAGTTCAAATCATACTAAAAATGAAATATCAAATTGGACAATAATTTTGGGACAGAGGTGTAGTAATTGTTCTCGAGAATCGACGTGATGATTAAAACAATTTTACAAACTTGAATAATATCTTGATCTATTAACCAATGAAAGTTTGTTATTCTCAACAAAAAAAAAAAAAACACACACACACACACACTCAAGACAAACAAACGAAGGTTGGAGGGAAAATTAATTAATCCCAAATCCCAAACCTTACCCTCTCACTGGTATTGAAGTGGATAAGAAAAACAGAAAAACTCACACAGCACAGAACAGAAACAGAACCATTTCCATTTTTCAATTCAGCCATGTCCATCTCTTCCCTCTCTTCCTCCTTCTCTTCTCTCACCCTCAAACCTTCAAATCCCAATCTCCATGGAAATCCCACCACCCTCCATTCCTCATTCATCCCCTTCTACAAAATCCCAATTCCAAAACCCCTTTCCCTCCCTCAATCCCATTCATCTGCTCCAATCAGCGCCACATATGAAGCCGGTGTCGGTGTAATGGGCACCAAGCTCGGAATGATGTCGTATTTCGAGCCTTCCGGCGAGGTTGTTCCCGTCACCGTTGTTGGGTTCAGGGAAGGGAACATTGTGACCCAGGTGAAAACGGAGGCTACTGATGGATACAGTGCGGTTCAGGTGGGTTACCGGAGGGTTCGAGACCGGAAATTGACGAAGCCGGAAATGGGCCACCTCGAGAAGTCTGGGATTATTCCGTTGCGGCACTTGCAGGAGTTCCGGCTCGAGAAAGTTGATGGGTTCGAGCCTAATCAGCGGCTGGTGTTCGATGAGTTGTTCAAGGAAGGGGACTTGGTGGATGTTTCTGGGACCACCATTGGGAAAGGATTCCAAGGTACTCATTTTTTTTTTGTGTTTATGTTCTAGCATTGCCAATTCAGTATGTCTTAATGTTGCACATGAGAAAAAAAGACTCTTAATTTTTACTTTTTTTTTTTTCGTTTGTAGTAAGGATTTGTGTCAGTTTATCTGTGTGTTTAGTTGCTGGTGAAGAATGATTGCTTGTTGGATATATGGAAACAAAATAAATCCGGGCTAGAAGGCAGAGTCGGGATGTTAAGTTCTAGACACTTCTATAGAATTGGGGCTACAGATAGGCTTGATAATGGCACTGGATTTCTGAAAATGATTTTTAAAAATTTAGCTGGTGTATCGTTCTGCATTACAAAAGTTACAGAAAAGAATTAGGTTCTGAGTTTAGTCTTGTGAAGTGTTGGGATGTAGACAGATATCTTGGTAGTGGCAATTCCTGCTGTGAACACTGTGAATTGTGATTTTGGTTGCCCTTGAGCACAAAACTTGATCCGGCTGTTAAGTGGCATGGAGGATTTTCCTCTCTGCTTTTCATTCCTAGAAATTTGGCTCAAAGCCTAAGCAAACAATTTAGGGCAAGGTGAAAGATATTGTAGTTTATTACTCACAAGAGGTTAATTCAATGTATTTCAAAGTGTGTTGCAAGAACTGGCTTTTACTTGGATCAGGAGGCATATATCTGTAAACCATAACGATCAGGCAGAAAATAGACATACAAACTAAAAGGACAATGACCAGGAGGGAATGTGGACTCAGCTAAATTGAATTTCTAATTCTTGTAATTATTGATTATATTCATACAATTGTCATTTGTCCTGAACTTTGATCGTGTTTTTGGTTTCGCCACTGGCGTGTGTGTCTCTTGTTAGCTTTCTGATCTGCTTGCGTATTACTTATCGCCAACTGTATTTCTGCACTCATTATCTTCACTGCTGGGATCTGTTCTCCGATGACAAGTGGCTGGTTAAATAGACAGAATTTTATTTAGAAACCAGTAAAATGGTTTCAGGCATGAATTCCCCTGTATATGTTTGCTAAGTAGACAGATTTCTTGGTAGTGGCAATGGCTGATATCGAATTGCTGTGAACACTGTGCATTATGATTTTGGTAGCCCTTTCTTTGAGCATAAAACTTGATCTGGCTTTAAAGTGCCGTGGAGATTTGTAAAACATACTCTCTGCTTTTCTTACCTGAGATTCGGCTCCAAACCTAAGTGACCAATTTAGAGTGAGGTGAAAGATATTGAACTTCGATAGTTCTCACAAAAAATTATTTCATTGTATTTCAAAGTGTTGCAAAAACTGGCTTTTAGTTGGATCATGAGGCTTTTATCCTTAAACTACCAAGATGGGTGAAATATAGAATACAGATTAAAGGAACTGTAACAAGGAAGGAGTAAAAAGCAAACTCAGCTAAGCTTGAATTCCTAATTCTTGTAAATTAGTGGTTATATTTTCATACAATTGTCATGTGTGATGTACGATTTGAACTTGTTTTTAGTGTTACCATAGGCCTGTGGGCCTCTTGTTAGCTTTTCTATCTGCGCACGGTCGCCTATTACTTTTTTCCAACTATGTTTCTGTACTCATGTTCCTTGCTGGTATGTGATTTGAGACGATGAGTGGCTGATTTAGTAAACCAAACATTTAACTAGAAATTGGTTTGTTTGTTTTTTGAGGAAATGGAGTACATTTGTGTAAATATTGCAGTTTTAAGGGATTATTCTGATTTGAAAATGCAATAGGTTTAATATGCATGCATGATGGCATCTAAGCTGAGATTTCCTCATTCTCCCCTCCATCTAGCTTGCTCTACTAAAGTGTGAATTAGATACTTTAATGTTTCGGGATTGTTATGTGCAGCTTCCCTATGTTCAAGGTTGATTAAACAAAAGAGTTACCATGTATTACTAGCCTCAGATTTAATTCGTTTGATGATTTATCTTACCATATCATGAATGCGGGTTTTCCTATTCAGCACATCTGCTTTGTTTTGTTAGTCACTCTTGGTTTTGTCGCGATCAATTTCAAATGCTGGGTTCTTGTTTCAGCATGTCGTTTCTTTTTGGCTATTTGCTCTTTGTTCTCTTGGGATCAAACTCTTAGCTTTCTATTATTTGACTGATAGGTGGGATCAAGAGACACAACTTTAAGAGAGGACTTATGACCCACGGGTCAAAAAGTCATCGGCAACTTGGATCAATTGGAGCTGGGACAACTCCTGGGCGTGTGTACAAGGGAAAGAAAATGCCCGGAAGAATGGGGGGCACCAAGACAAAGATAAGGAAGCTGAAGATAGTCAAGATTGATAATGAGCTTCGGATTGTGATGATCAAGGGTGCTTTACCCGGTAAGCCAGGAAATCTTCTCCGTATCACTCCCGCAAAGATTGTTGGAGTTAACATACCAAAGAACTAAATCTGTTTCTCTGTCTCTGTCTCTTGTCTTTGGACAATTAAATCTGTGTAATTTATGCTTCCTAAGAGTAATATCATTTCCGGAATTTCTTGCCTGCCACCATCTTTGCTTCCCTCCTGCATTTTCATATCGACACTTCTTTCACCTTAAACCATTGCTTGTTCCTACTAGTTTAGGCAGAAATGGGAGATTTATGTCGTTGCTTCTTTCAAATTGAGGTTCAAATCCTGATCACAAATGCATCCCTATAAACAGTGGGAGATTTATGATACACCATTAAGTCTTTGTCTTCTCTTGCAACCCTAATTAATCTTGTCCGCAATCAATGCAAATACAACAGTGAGCATTCTTTTTCAAATTACTTTGGTGTTGTAATGGATAAAACCACTTGGTGAATTAAAGCGAAAAAATGAGGAAAACAAAACATTGCTTCATGACGGGAGTGAAGAGAAATTCCATTCCATCAACCAGAATGCCAGAAAGGTTCTCTGAAGGGTTGTAATCAATAAATTAGGCTCTTTTCACAGTATGAAATGAAAAAAAAAAAAAAAAAATCGGCAGACTTCAGATTTACACTCTCTTTTTGGTTACACTACGGGATGTTACATAAAAGAGCTTGTTACATTACTAAATGAAACTTGAGCATTTTCTTATCGAGTTCATACGTTCCAACTTATTAACACTTCAGACTGTGCTAAAAATCGACATTGGGAATTCAAACGAAATCCTCTCCTTACGAAATTAGTACATTTTTTTCTCTCCTCCGCTTTGCTGTGGTCAATTGTCCATAAGCACATTTGATATTAGCTTGTCACAAGTAGCAATATCGTGAAGTCAATTTGCAATTAACCGTTTCTCCCCATTGTTACCCTGAATCCATGATAGCTAGTCACTGTATTTGTGTATATGGATGCTTGCATTGAACACTTTTAACAAATTTGGAAAATGTGATTGTCGTTTATTGTTGTACATTAGTTCATCATAGAAAAGATTGAATGGTGGTTTCTTGTCTTAATCTCAGGCAGATTGTAACTTTTTTTGCATAACTTTAACTTAATGATACTATTGCTGAAGTTGATGTCACAAGGAGACAATTTGGTACTAATGAAGAAGACGACACAATCACCTCTTATTATGTTTCGCTTCTTAAAACTATATCGCATGATTTTATCGTTCCATCTAGATATGCCATGATCTTTCATGATCTTTACGAATTCACTGAGAGTCTCAGTACTGTACAAGGATGGATTGTCATAAACTGACAGAGATTCTTAGCTTCAATTGGGGCTATGAAATGGTAAAAAAAAATTTTTTTTAATAAAAATTTAAAAAGAAATTTAGAAATGGTAAAAACACAGCCGAACTGACAGACATTAGGCCGGCTAGCAGCTAGCACTCTCTGTTGGCAGTATCTCCTGATGCTGTTATTCAGAATAATTTGACGTTTTGTCCTAATGGTGTTGTTTGTTTTACTATATGATCAGTGTTTTCATCGGTTCTCTGATGAGCTTTTAACAGACAGTAAAGAGAAGACACAAAAAGAATCTCCCATTCTTTTGACTTCCGAATCTTTGTTAGTCCATGGAAGACATGGGGTGGAGAGATGATAATATTTTTACTCAATCAATCAACTCAAAACACCCTTCCCAGATTTTTTATCAAGCTGATGTAGAGCAAGATAGTCGATTTGAGGATTTAACGTTGTTAGAAAGCCAGGCCCTTTTTGGGCGCAAAGTGAAGCGTTCCAGGGAGGAAATCGATGAACAAAGTTCTGATTATGCGGTAACTGATACCCGTAGGATTCTGGAATTAGCAAAAACTTGCCTGTTTGAGTTAAGGATGCAGAATGCGGATTTGATTTCCAGTGTTCTGTGCTCCAACTTTTCGGAAGAGATGGTGTTGGCTCTCTTTGTTCAAGCTGCCGCAGAAAAGATTGCAGATAATCAACTGATATACGCGAAAAAACTGCTCGGGCTGTGTCGTGACAGAGCTTCTAAATCTGGCAGTCCTCTGCAGAGGCTTGCACATTATTTCATTGCAGCCCTTCATGATAAAATTGATAATGAATGGGGACTGATATCAACAAATCAAATTGAAGGGAGAGTTTGGAAAATCGAAAATGGGGAGCAGGACATGTTTCTGTTGGATCCTGGTAAGGTGGAATGTCAACAGGAACTCCCATTCTGTGTAGTAACACAACTTGCAACAGTGGAAACAATCCTGGAAGCTGTTAAATCAGCTAAGAGGGTTCACTTGATAGATTTTGAAATTGACAACGGATCACAGTGGATACTCATAATGCTGGTGCTTGCTGTTAGATATGAATGTCCACTCGAACTTCTCAAGATAACCGCTGTTGGAATCAATAAAAATGGGATGGAAAAAGCAGGTAAATGGTTGTCATCCTTTGCTGACAGCATCAACTTACCCTTTTCTTTCAAGATGATTGTATCAGATCTGAAGGATCTCCATGAAGATCAGTTTGAGTTGGACACTGGTGAAGTTGTAGCAGTCGATTTGGAATTCCGTCTCTGGACACTCTTAATTCGGCCTAAAAGCTTGGATGTTCTGTTAGAAGTGATTGTGAATCTCAGGCCAAGTGTAATGATTGTAAAAGAAATAGAAGTGTGCACCAATTCGTCGAATTTCCTGGAGCGATTCAGTGAAATGCTTAACTTTCACAGCGCCTTGTTTGACTCCACAAAAGCTTGTATGGAACATCATCTTCCTTAGAGAAAAATGGCCGAGGAAGTATACTATTGGGAAATGATACAAAATGTCATCGCGGCAGAGGGAACAGAGAGATTCATGCGCCACGAAAAGTTGGCTTTCTGGAGGGCCCTTTTTGCACGGCACGGCATTGTGGAGACAGAAATTAGTGAGACAGCCATATGCTATGCAAACATGCTTAAAAGTTCTGATCGGTTTAGTTCTTGCTCTGTGGTTATGGATGGCAAATGCCTGATTTTCGGATGGAATGAGACCCCTCTGCAGTCTGTTTCTGCCTGGAAATTCCTCTGTAATTGCAAGCAGGAAGTTTAAAGCCATGTTACTACAACTTCATGTATGTTCTGATGATTAATTAGCTGGTTTCCTTTTTAAGAGCTTTTAGGTGTGTTACCTAAGATTACTCGAAGCTCAAGTTGAATGCGTTGATCATGGCTGATACGAAATTTGTAACTCCCTCCATCGCAAAATGATTATCCTGTTATTAGAGAGTATTATAATCAACAAAAAATCAAGGTTGAGTATTGAATACCCTCCAGATATAGAAACTATTTAACTGAAGCCTGTCAATATTTTCTATCATCATCAATAGATTCTCAGATTCAACTAAGACTGTTTTCCTTTAAACCAAATCAATCAAAGAATATTCTTCGCAAGAAGTGAAAAAAGATGGGATCTTCAGAAAAATGAAAAGTTTGACTGAAAGATACATTGATTGGGATTCACTTCAGATAATGTTGTTGGTTCCTAGATTACTTTTAGTTTTCAGAATACATTCTACCTCAAAACATTAACAAACAAAAAGAGCCAAATTTGAAGGATCAGGAAGTTTACACATATATGAAAAGATTCACAGATGAATGATCAGTAATCTAGATTGTCCTAAAATTTTTGCTGTCCTAATGAAACTTCCAAGCAGAAAGTGACTCGAGTGGTGTTCCATTCCAACCCATAATGAGGCACTTCCCATCCATGGCAAGAGAACAAGATGCATACCTATCAGATCTTTTCAGCAGCAAGTTTCCTTGACATAAAGCTAATCTGCTCAAATCAGATTCCACAATACCGAAACTTGCGAAAAGCGTCCTCCAGAAAGCGATCTTTTCCTGCCTCTGATACCTCTCGGCGCCTTCGGCTGTAAGGGTGTTGTGAATCATCTCTCTAAACGAAGCTTCAGTCTGTTTTCTGTATTCAACGTGTTGTTCGCAGCACGCATTCAAGCAGTCAAACATGGCGCCCGAAAAGAAGAGCAGTTCATCAAAACGCTTCAAGAATTCCGGCGAAGCAGTACTAACTTCCAACTCCCTGGTCAGCATCACACAAGGCTTAAGGCTTTTGATGACTCCTAGAAATGCTCTTAAGTGATTAGGCCACGGTAAAAATGTCCACAGGCGAAACATAGAATAAATAGCCACCGCTTCATCATCCTCTATCGCGAAGAGATCTCGGCTGAGGCTCTTAAGATCTGAGACAACTACATTAAATGAAAAAGGTAGATGGATGGTCTCTGCAAAGGATGCTAACCACTTACCAGTCTTTTCCATCACAGGTTTACAGGTTCCAACAGCAGTTATCTTGAGAAGTTGCAGGGGAAATTCTGTTCTCGCAGCCAAAGCTTGCATTATCAGTATCCATTGTGATCCATTTTCAAGAGAAAAATCAATCAGATGAACCCTTCTGTGAGAGGCCACATTTTCCAAAATCGATTCTGTTGCTGCAAATTGAGTAACTAAACAGTATGGTTGTTCATGTTGAGTAGCTGTTCTTTCGGGGTTCACTAAAACTCTGTCCAAGTAATCTGCATCACTTTTCTCCCAAGTTTTCTCTGCTAGAAACTCTGATGATGACATTATCCCCCATTCTTGATCGATCCTATCTTGAAAAGCTTCTGCAAAATAGTACACAATTCTCTGAACAGGAGTGCCGGTTACAGAAGCCGTGCGAAAACAGACGTTGATCAGCTTCTTTGCAACAACCATTTGTCCATTGCTGATCTTTTCAGCCGCAGCCTGAATTAGTAGTGCGATTTCCAAGTCTTCTGAAACATCAGAAGTGAACCCTGGTGAAGTTAAAATACTACCAAAGCAACCTTTTACGCCGGAAATAACATCAACCTTTTGAGAATTCAACTGAATAAGTCTTACTTTTGCCAATCTCATAGCTTCAAGGCAGCTTATTATTGTTTTCTGATTTGAGATGGAGCTTTCATCCCTCAAACGTTTCAGTTTGGAGCCATAGTTCTTGAGGATTTCCGCCGATTTCAACGGAGGAATACTACAACTACTATTACTGCTGCACTGCTCCACTTCCTCTGGCTGGGCAACATAATCAATGTCTTCCCAGAAAGATTCTACATCATGCCATTCTTGTACTTCCTGAAACTCGAAAAAATCAGCCATGCTATGGAAATATGAACTGCTTGATGGTTTACTTAATCTAGATAAAAAGAATGAATCGATCTTTAAGGTTAATGGGTTTTCAAATCTGCCTGATTTGGGTTCTGGGACTAAAAGTCTGGTGAAAGAATATCAGGACTGGAAACTTTAGCTCCAACATCAACAAAACAAAATGTTGGACTTTGTTCAAGATGTCAATACCAAAGCCAATCTGCATTCCGACATAAGATACTTCAAAATGTCATTTTGCCGACTGATCATCGGTTATCTTATGCATTATAGTATTCAAAATGAGCAAATCTATAAAAAAAAAAAAAAAATACAGTAACGAAAATAGACTTGTTCACTTTAAGGTTCTTGTGTCGGAAGAAGATCAATAAAACCACTTATATCCTTCCAAATATGTAAGTTAAAGGAGTTGATGATTAAGCTAAAAGTAGTAGTAATTTTTTAAGCAGCATATTTTGGTGCGAGACTAATTTAGTGACACATATATATATATATATATATATATATATATATATATGGGAAATTCTAGAGTCCAGTCGCTTTAATTTAACTGAACCGTTCAGTTAAAATTTAACCAATCAAAATTGATGACTTATAATTATACATGAGATGAGAAACATTGGAACGCATTCACAATAGTTATCCCCTGCTAATTGGATTATTCATGTAGTCAATTTTTTAAAAATTACTTACATAAAATTAAATTATCTCAATAAAATTGGAATCCATTTTCCTAATTTCATTAATTTGAACAAACTTGTCTCAAAGGCTCTTCAGTTTGGGACCGTGAAAAGCCCATCTCAATAGTTATTATATTGACATGGAATTCAGAGTTGTATGTTCTTATTTGATCAGAATTGATTTATTTTTTTAGACAAAGAATTTAAAGCTAGCCTAACAACCAAAATCATGATCCGTGACAAGCTTATGATTGTCAATAAATCCTAGCCACGGATCTTTAAGACTGTTGCTTGAGATTTTGAACTTCTTTAACCCCTCATAACAGTAAGACCATGTAAACTAGTGCAGAGAGAATGGTTCAAGGTTTGTTCAATTGAATTAAGAAACTCATCATCTTTTTACATATAAAGAACCCAACTCAAGAATCTTCAAATTCTTATAGGCGGCCAAATCCAGGATTTGTAATACGCCATAATCATTGCTCACGGTACGAAAATACTTGAGATTTGGTACATAACTTCTTGAAGAGCATGATTATAATCAGCACAGAGATCATCATCATCCTCATCAACAATCTTCAAACACTCAATCCATTTCAACTTGTGATGTAATACTAATACTTTGAAAGCATAGAAACTAAAACAATTAAAAAACTTTTATTCCAGGCTTCCAGCAGTAATCGCTAGTGAAATCTTTGATCCTGTTAAAACAATCTTATACAGATAATGGCCAACAAGAATTCTAATACAAATTCAGAACCAAACTCTAATACAAATATTCGGATGCTTTCCTTTGCCGTTAATATTCAGCATTGCAACAAATACGAAAAGAGAAGAATTAGGTGTTGGATTATTGAATCTGATTCTTTCTTGGATTATTCGGTTAATTTGTTTCGAAGATCTGAATTCAAAAAGCAATGAAAATTTTTTTTTGAATGGAGGTGGCGAATAGTATAGGGGAGTGATGGTGCGGCAGTGCGGCGGCGGACTTATTAAAGATATTGGTGGTGCATATGAAAAAAGAAAAATAAAGATAATTTTTATAAAAAGAATTAATATTTTAATTTAAAATTTTGATTGACTAAACAAATGATCAAGTGCAATAGGGTATATCCTTACAATACGCCCTACGTTTAATCCAACGGTGGCTAGTTGTTTTAATTGATCCTGCGATGTTAAATGACGACTAAACTGTTCAGTCGACTGAACTCTAACCACTCCCTATATATATATATATTTTCATTACTTTGATTTTTCATCCCTTTCAAATCAAATTAGACATGTTGTTACCATCAAATATCATCTCCATAAGTTCGTTATAATGGTATCGTTATACTAACCATTTGATATTTAAGCAAGTCTTATACACTGAACCATAAATTAGTTTCTTTCCTATAAAATAATGAAATCGGGATGCTCGCTCAACATTATTAGTCTTTTTCTTTTTCTTTCTTTCTTTATTTTAATTTTTTTGTCTGTTCATTACCAAAAACATGGATGGACCGAAAGTTTCTAAAAAGATTAATTAGAAAGTCAATCATTTTGATACCCAAAAAAAAAAATAAAAAAATTCTTCTGGTCTTTATTATAACACATTTTTAATTTCTCCTATATTTCATTTATTATGTTGTTCAAATTGTTGAAAATAAAACCTTAAAAATGCATATTCATAGTTAGTGTGTTCTCTCAATTATTACAAAACATTTTTAAGATTTCATTCATTAATTAAAAAAACACAATAAATACTAAAATTTTAGAAGAATTAAAATGATTTATAATTAGGACCGAAATTAGTACCACCATTTTGTTTAGTATGATCAATATAAGATGTTAGCCCTAACGCCGCCTTCATCATTTAAAGCCTTTGAATAACAGAAAAAAGGCGCCAAAGAAGCAATGAACAAAAAACCGTCATCCTCATCACTGCCATGATTCTACACAGCCTCATTTCAAATTCCACGAAAATACGCCATCGATTCCTTTACAATTACTGTTCTTCCTGCTCAATCCAGTTCTCCACTCTAAGCTCCAGTTTCAGTTCGTTGGCCGCCTCAATAGTTGACCACACGCCAGAAATCCCTCCTAATTCCAGCTTCAAGACTCCAGGACAATGGCAGAGTGAGCCAACTTTATCCCGGTCTCATCAATTCGGGGCATCCCGAGAAGAAATTAATTCACAGAAGTTTCATTTCAAAGAGGAGGAACCCGTTTTTCTTTTGCCCTTGGTTCCTGAAAAACGAGACGGTCTTATTGCGCGCTATCACTCATCCTCTTCTGATTTTGATGCCAGCCAGCTTCATTTAGAGATAATACGAGATGGGTTTGTTTCAGATTTATTCATGTGTAACACGCTTATTAATTTATATGTCAGAGTTGGTGACATGGTTTCTGCTTTCAAGCTGTTTGCTGAAATGTCTGAGAGGAACCTGGTTACTTGGGCTTGTTTGATTTCTGGATACACCCAGAATGGAATGTTTCACGATGCTTGCAAGACTTTTCGGGAATTGTTGATCTCGGGGTTTGTTCCAAATCATTATGCCCTGGGTAGTGCTTTAAGAGCTTGTCAGGGTTTAGGGTCATTGGGTCTAAGGTTTGGGATGCAAATTCATGGATTGATCTCAAAAACCCCTTATTCTTCTTATGCTCTTGTATCCAATGTGCTGATTTCGATGTATGGTCGTTGTGCAAGTTCTGCTGAGTATGCGAGGAATGTTTTTGATGATTTAGAATCTCGGAACTTGATTTCTTGGAACTCTATCATTTCAGTATATTCACAAAGAGAAGACACTGATTCCGCTTTTGAACTCTTTTCCGGGATGCTAAATGAGTGTGCAATTTTTGGTTTCACTCCTAGCGAATATACTTTCGGTAGCTTGGTTACTGCTGCTTCATGTAATTCTATATTTTTGCTTCAGCAGATGCTCGCAACAGTGGAGAAATCTGGTTGTTTGGAAGACCTGTACGTGGGTAGTGCATTTGTCAGTGGTTTTGCAAAGCTTGGGATGCTCGATACTGCTAAAAAAATCTTTGAACAGATGAGTACAAGGAATGCTGCTACCCTGAATGGGTTAATGATTGGATTGACAAGGTTAAATCAAGGGGAACAGGCAGCTAAAGTTTTCACCGAAATGGGAGGTTCGGTTAGGTTGACTTCTGATTCATTACTTGTTCTTTTAACCACGTTTCCTGAGTTTTCATCTCTGGAAGCTGGGTGTAGAAAAGGTAAGGAGGTACATGCACATGTTATCAGGACTGGCCTAGCTCATACGGAGATACCAATCGGAAATGGATTGATCAATATGTATGCCAAATGTGGTTCAATTGATTATTCTATTTCTGTTTTTGAACTCATGGCTAATAAAGATTCAGTGTCCTGGAATTCAATAATATCTGGTCTTGACCAAAATGGGTGCTTTCAAGATGCAGTTTTTACCTTCCATGATATGAAGAGTAGTGTTATCTCTCCTTCGAACTTTACGTTAATTAGTGTGCTGAGTTCATCTGGAAGCCTGGGGTGGGTCAAAATGGGAGAACAAATACACTGTGAAGCACTGAAGCTGGGTCTTGAATATGATGTATCAGTGTCTAATGCTCTTCTTTCGCTATACGCCAACTCTAAACTTATAGCTACATGCAAGAAATTATTTTCGCTGATGCCTGAATATGACCAAGTATCTTGGAATTCCATGATTGGGGCCTTCAATGGTACCGAAGCATATCGTCATGAGGCCATGCTGTATTTTAAGGAGATGATGCGACGTGGATGGAATCCTAATAAAATAACCTTTTTAAATGTTCTTGAAGCATTAGCGCCTGTTTCTCTTCTTGAGTTTTCTCGCCAAGTTCATTCTGCTGTTATAAAATATGGAGCTATGAATGACTGTTCCATTGAGAATGCACTTCTCTGTTGCTATGGAAAATGTGGAGAAATCAATTACTGTGAAGCTATATTTTCCAGAATGCAGGGAAGGAAGGATGATGTTAGTTGGAACTGTATGATTTCTAGTTACATACACAATGATTTTTTATCGAAGGCCATGAGTCTAGTCTGGCTTATGTTACAGAATGGTCGAACACTAGACAGCTTCACTTTTGCTACTGTTCTTAGTGCATGTGCCTCAATTGCCACTTTGGAGCGTGGTATGGAAGTTCATGCTTGTGCTATTAAATCGTGTTCAGAGTCTGATGTTGTCATAGGAACTGCACTTGTTGACATGTATACGAAATGCGGAAGAATAGATTATGCTTCCAGACTCTTTGAGTTAATGCCTAAGAGGAATGTGTACACCTGGAATTCCATGATTTGTGGTTATGCACGCCATGGTCATGGGAAAAAAGCTTTAGATCTTTTCACCAGAATGGAACTAGATGGTCTATCTCCTGATCATGTCACCTTTGTTGGTGTCCTGTCTGCCTGTAGTCATGTGGGGTTGGTTGATCAAGGTTTCCACTATTTTGAATCTATGAGCAAAGTTTATGGTTTGGCTCCTCGAGTGGAGCATTTTTCTTGCATGGTGGACCTCCTTGGACGAGCAGGAAAAATTGATAAAGTGGAGGACTTCATCAATAGGATGCCAATGGTGCCTAATGCTTTGATTTGGAGGACAGTTTTAGGGGTCTGCAGTCGAGCAAATGGAAGAATGACACAAATAGGTAAGAGGGCAGCTCAAATGCTACTGGAGTTGGAACCACAGAATGCTGTGAATTATGTGCTTCTTTCTAACCTACATGCCTCCAAGGGAATGTGGGAAAACATGGCAGAGGCTCGAAATGCAATGAATGAATCAGCTGTGAGGAAGGAAGCTGGATGCAGCTGGGTTACCATGAAAGACGGTGTGCATGTTTTCGTTTCTGGAGATAAATCACATCCCGATAAAGATATTATATATGAAAAACATAAGGAATTGCACTTGAAAATGAAGGATGCAGGATATGTGCCGGAATTGAATTATTCCATGTATGACCTGGAACAGGAAAATAAAGAAGAGTTGCTGAGCTACCATAGTGAGAGGCTGGCAGTTGCTTTTGTTCTCACTCGAAAATCAGAGTTGCCAATAAGAATTATGAAGAATCTTCGCATTTGCGGGGACTGCCATTCGGCCTTCAAGTACATATCAGAAATAGTTGGTAGGCAAATTGTTTTACGAGATTCAAACAGATTCCACCATTTTTATGGTGGTAAGTGTTCATGCAATGATTATTGGTGAATTTCATCTTTTCTTAACCTCCTTAATCTCCCACTGTACAGTTATTGCTACTTAATGAAGATAATAATCTTATGCCTTCTTCTGTGTTATTATATTTGGACTTTCATAATTGAATGATGGGTAGTTGTATTGTTGAATCTCATAACCTTTGTGGCCATTCTAAAGATGTAAGCTTTGTGCTGAAAACTGTTATCCAGTCACCATGTGTTTACAACTTGTAGCGGGTCATCCCCCCCTTGTAGGTGTTCTGTTGGAAAGCACTTGCTTGCTATTAGTATCTTGTAAACTGCTGCAATCTGCATTGCTCTCAAATACAAGCGTTCCATGTTCATCTTGGTTTTCGTAATACCTTTGTTTTGACTTAGTAGATTCCCTTCAGAGAAAATTTTGAAGGGTGGTGAAGCTATTATACAAGGAGCTTGGGTTCGCAAAAATAATGAAGCTGGTGGTTTTCACCATGATGGAGGAGTAAAGCATGCTGTTCTGTTGGTCCATGCACGTTCTTTGGATATACTGTTATGGTAAGTGCTTTATTTGCGGTTTGGTTCCTAATAGTATTGACCTAATATGTCACTTATGAAACTTGTTATAGCTTCAAACTAAAGATAATTGATCTAGGGGTAAGAAGTAAATCATTTGAAAATATGACTTGTGCATTACTGAAATTCTTCAACAAAAAGGGATGTCTTTCATAGAAATTACTATAATCTATACAATAAAACCAAACCAAGATCTCTCTACCACCAATGCCAAAACTTTCTTAGAATCTTTGCATTCTCACATGAAACTGTTTGTTGAGAATGCAAAGATGTTTTTGGAGTGAGAATGGTAATATAAAGAAAGAAGCATTTACATTTGAATTTTCATGATTGACTACTGCAGTAAATGACAGTTCAATCTATCAATTAATGAGGCAAAATGTTTGTGGAGCGAGTTTCTTCCTGCAGTTCTTTCCACTGCTAGTTGGGTTGAAATAAGATGGTTGATGAGAGCGCACTGAAACTCAAACTGACTGTTGTAATAGGAAATGAAATTCTGATTTTTGACGAAGGAGAGTTGGAGGATCTACATCTGGCAGGCTCAAATCATGAACGGATCGTGATAGTTCTTCGAGAGAGAAAGGTATGCTGTAATTTATAAACTCCATTAACTATGATGAAGGAGTACTCTTTAATCTCAGTATAGTAAGCATATCTTACCCTGAGTCCACATCAAGCAAGAATGTACTGTTTGGCATTGTTGAATCTTCTACTGTTAGTGCTCTCATCTTGGCAATCACCTAAAAATCCAAAAATTATTCACAATGTTTGTGCTAAGTCCAAAGGTTTATTCAGTCGCAGGAAAATGAACATCTTTAAGGGTTATTAGTGATGGTTTCTTTACATGAATTGATTTTTCTTTAAGCTAGAATGTAAATTTGTGGCATATTAGACAATTGGTGGGATCTGATTACACTTTGGACATCTTTGTTTCATGGAGGGATTCTCGGTGAATAAAGAATTTGTAGTTGTGGAAAACAATAAAACAATGATTTTGATTCATTGCGTGGTGAGACAACTTTGTGACAATTTTTCTGTCTTGTGTATTCATATACTTGTATTTTTATACCTGAGTACCTTTATTGAAGAACTACCATATTTATGAATGAGCAGAGTACTTACTTCTGGAGATAATCCATGCGTTCCATATTTGTCATCCCAAAACATTGTCCCTATTCGATATATTTGTGGTATGCTCAGCACCTATCAAAGAAAAAAAAAAAGAAACCAAACAAAAAATTAGTTGAACAATGTGGCGGCTTATACATGCTGCACATGATGGATTAACTGCTTGCTTGAGTTGTTTCCCCTGACCCCAACCCCTCCCCCGAATTGAAAATTTGGAATGGCACTCTTGAATCGAGATTAGTTTTCAGGTCTACTTTTTTGTGCTTTAGTTATCTATAGCATGTGCTTAGTCAATTACCGGACAGATCTCTTTTGTTATGTCTTCCAAGGACCTCTGAGCTTTTTGATGCGAAACCTGCATGGTAATTTGTTAATAGTTTGCACGAAGTTTATAAAAGTCTATGTATCTTCTAGCTGAAATTGGATCTGAATTTAACAACAGTTTACCAGAAAATTCACTGCTTGCCGTATGTGATGAAGTTCATCCCAAGATGATCCAGCAAACTGTGAAAGCAAACTGTAAATATATTGTATAATCCATAAATTGCACTGGTGTCGGCCTGAAAATGGCCTTCTGTATGCTAGTTACCTGATCTGTTGTTCTAGCACACCAATATTCTAGCTCTTGCAAACCTGCCTTCAGGTATTCTCCATTGCTAAATGAGCAGCACTCTCTCCTGAGCAATAAACTGTAAAGAAATGTGGTTGTTCATTTAGTGAAACTTGGAACAGCTTGTTGGGAAGGATCTTGGAAACTAATATGTGCTGTTTGTCGTATAAGATTATATGAAATAAGTACAGAATACCTGTTGAGAAGCTGAACGTTGATAAATGAAAAAACCTGATTGAATATGTTCCTCATCAGAGTTGAAGGGACCTGATTAGAGAAATATGCACAATTTAATTAGGTTAAACTTTTCTGTTCTTATGGAAGTGGGCAATAGTGAATGGGAAGAATAGTTCATCATACATTTTTTTCGCACAGTATGGTCAAAGTATGATCCAAGCTGCGGATTATATTTTGCCAGTGTACACTGGATGCCTGTTGTTTTGCACTATTAACTGAATTAGTAATTGTAGAAGATCCTCTCAGCATTCTGGTTCTTGCAGTTCGAGGTGCCTGTCAAAGGCATTACAGCCTATAGTCAGGAATGAATTTCTTCTAGTGGGTAATTCCTTGTATGGAAAGTGCTTACATGTATGCATAAGTTCAGGAAAGGGCCAATCTCCTTCTTTAAGTTATCACGTATCATGCCATATATTTTTTCAACACATGCAGTTAAATGTTGCTTAAACAATAGGGCAGGGTATTTTGCTTCAATCCTGGATCGCATACTTGAGTTTCCCTCCATTCCACTGTATCCGCTTGAGACTTCTGCTCTCAATGTTGGTGAACGGAAACCCTGATATTGAAGCCAGGAAGTGTTAGAAATTGAGATGAATCATGTCAGTGTAGATAACTCAGGGGAAACATACTTGAGCCATTCTACCGAAAAGACTGCTGGGAGAGCTTCGGTTGCGGTGGGATACTACATTTGGCGCAGCGCTTGCTTTTATTGTACGCTGAACAAGAAGCAACAAAGTTGAAGTTGCTGACAACCAGTATGCTAGAGTGTTGCTATTGTCCTGACCCTGCAAGGAATATATCTTTACTTTGGACTGAAGCGAAATGCTTCCTTTGTTGGTCATAAGGATACTCGTTAAACTTAGGTTGTGGAGAATTGACATACATAACTAATTGCTAGTACCTCTATTGAGGATATGATAGCATGGATAATTCTGTCAAATATTGGAGTTTTCTCTGCCTCAAAAGATCTCCAGTGAAGAAGAGCTTTGTACACTATGTAGGCTGTAACAGGTTTCCCTTGCTCAAATCTCATATCTTCCAACAGACATTTGATTAGGACATCATGGTTTTCCTGGTCTCAAAGGAGCATAAGTAAGGTTGGAGGGTGTTTCATAAAAAAGATCTTAAAATCAATTTTACAGTTGTTTATTGCGTTGAAGATGTGCGGTTTCAGCTTTTACCTGCTGCTTGTCTGTCAGGGATCTTTGTTTAGTTAGGAGGGGAGCAAAATTGTTTGCGTCCTGCAAATTAAAATGAGATTGATACGTTATTTTAGAATGACAAATCCTTTCTTAAAATTTACATTTGAAGACGTTTCAGCAGGTTCAATGGCTGAGGAGAGATTGATGTACTTTGCCTACTTCTTGTTGCTTTATCCTTTCATGATCTTCCTTTCTGTGAAAGCCATTGTTCAGCTGTAAATTGAGTTTGGAGCCCTGCATTGTTCATGGAGGAAAGGTTAAAGCTAGGTTATTGTGACCACCGAGGTTGTATGCTGAAAACGTTGTACTAGAATACCTTTAGTATTGTGGCTTCCCCTTCAGAGGTGGGTAATTCAACCAACACAATTTTCTGGCTCCGAAGGAGCTCATTTTCTGACTCCAAGTCAATGATTTTCCTCTTGAGTCTGCAAAAGAAAGATCTCATAAAAATTTTCTTGTATGGTTTCATAGTTTGTGGGGTGTTGAATGACGTAATGTGCTAGTATGAATATTAAGGGACACCTTGGGCACAAGATACCACAAAAGTATCTTCCAAGAAAGAAAGTACGTAAGTGAAAATTCAATTTCGAAAAGTAACTGTATATGTTCACATCTAAGTTTAGAGCATTTTATATCTGTCTGAAGTACTTTAAACAAAATTCCCAAAAAAAGAAAAGAAATATTTAAAGCCTTTATTGTTGATTTCTGATTTCTTTGGATTTTTAAACTCTTTTGTAAATCAAGTATACATAGTCCACTCCACTGTGCTGGGATTGGGAGATGGAGGTGAACCTTTTGCACAAAAAAGGAGAAGCAGTTAAGTAGCATGCGTCTTTTTTGTCGTTTGCTTCAATGTATTTGCTAGTCAAAGTTCAACATTTCAAACTTGTTTTCCACCTCTTTGTGGGACCAAAATTGGCATTCTGACCTCAATTCATGGACAATTACACTTGTCCAAAGGTTTCAGGATCCCGTGCCAGTCTGCTATGTGCCAAAACATCTTTGTGTTCGTCACAGAAAATAACATATAAAATTTTATTATACTCACAGTTCGATATGTTCATTGAATTCATCATCAGGTGATGCAGCTAAAGCCTGCTGGCGTATGACCTGATTCTCAGCCTCAAGATTTGATAAGTTGAGCTCTAACCTGAGATTGAACAGTAAGCTGTAAAAGGTTGGACAAGGGAGTTTGCGGGGAATAATTGTTAACGTCAATAAAGAGTGACATGCTACCTTCCAATTGTCTCCTGAAGTTTTAAAACTCTGAGCTGCAATTCCTCTGCCTCTTTGAGCCTGGCTTCGCTTTCTTTCTGCACTTCAGAAAATGTAATCTCAAACTCTTCTATCTTGTTCTTTAACTCTGCAACTTCTTCCTGCAAATAATGCCATCTTACTAATCAAGAGTAGTAACGAGGATTAGGTAATCCATGCCTCCTTGCATGATAGCGTGGCAATGACAATCACCCAGGGCTATCTTTACACGTAAGAACTTCTAAAATTACATCTTCTTTAGATGTTTTCTCTTCTCATGGATGATAGGTTATTCTTAATTCTTGATATAGAATCCACAGCCCATTTTATTGCTTTTATTACCTTGAGTTTATCATTTTGGTCTGTTAACTGCTCCACCTTGGTGTTGTCAACAACTGGTACCTCCTGGATAACTGGTGGAGCTAGATCAATTGCTAATTTCGCTGCTTCTTTTTCACGAACAATGGCTGCATTTGCTTCTTCTAGTTGTGCTTGTAATTCATGTAGTGTGGACTGCAATTTTGCAATCTCTTGCCCCTTGGCTTCTTCAAGATCAACCTACAACATCTCCCACATTTAATAATATTTGTTAGGACTGTTCTGTTACATTCATTTCGATAAAAAATTGTATGAAATGGGCAGAACATCAAGTGCTACAGAGTTATTCATTCCGTAATGGTTTAACATGTCACTTCAGAAGATTTGTTGATATAAGTTGACTACCAGGATCCTACCCTTAAGTGCTTTTCAAAATCTAATCTCCATGTCAGCTCCTCTACACGTTTCTCCAGTTTGTCCTTGGCTTCTTTCAATGCTCCTGTTTCCCTTGCAGCCTGCATTTGGATTTTTTTAATGTGTGAAGAGTTGAATATGTGAGCAGCAGGGATTGCAAAATATTGAGTTAAACTGTCCTCAATTTGTTGCTTATACATATTTCAACATGAGTTATAGAAAATCAAAGTTCACCATTCTCAGTTTTCGAAGCTCCTTCCTTGCCACTCTAGCTCTCCAGAGGCACTGTAGCACAAGATTTGCTTCCTGTAGCTGATTATACATGGTGACTGCATGGAATCTTCTCCACTGTGTCTGGATGAAACAGTAAGTAGCAATTTTAGTTGATATGGTGTTCTGTATGCAGACTGTAAACCAGTTCAATAGCAAGCTAATCCATTCTTCCTTTGATAAATGTCAACCATTCTATACTTCCTTTCCTTTGCCTTCAAAACTATGTTAGAATGAAAACAAACTAACCAATGAAGGAAAAGTTTAAGTGTCATAATCTGTGACACTTGGACCAATTTTTACATTTCCTTTAAGGAAGAGCCAATTTTTCTGACTTCAATGGCTTTCTTGTGATTTTACTTTCAGGAATCCTGCCTTCTTTAATTTTGGCAGTTTGCACTGTTGGAAACTTATTCAGTTTTTTTCTACTAGTGGTGCTTTTCGCTTAATAATCTGTCCCATGCCAACAGATCATCAAATCTTTACTCCAGAAATTGATCTTTTGAATCTGGCCTATATTTTAAACTCTAAACAGACAAACATTTGATTCAGAACTTTGGTCTGAAAGGACGGTAAAGCCTCATATTGCTGCTAGACAATATGTTTATTTTCATGATGAAACTCTGAAATGTCCTGACCTGAAGAATTGTTGCTGCCTTGTTACGTCTTCTTTGCCTGTACTCATTTCGTGCTGCCATGGCTCGCATCCCTGTTTGAATAACTATTGCTGCTGCTTTTAGTTTTGTGTATGTTTTTCTTGCTGCATCAGCTCGAACATGCTTTTGTATGTTGATTGAAGCTGCTTCCTTCCTCATACAATCATAAAGCCTACGTGCAAGCCTTGCTGCATAAGAGGCACAGGAAATCATTACAATTGCTTGCCGAACTGTGCATGTCAAGCGAATGTCTGTAATAAACTTCTTTTTAAATAGTTTTACTTTGAGAAATCTAGATATCATACATAGATAATACTAATTACTTTTTTTTTTTTTTTCCTTTTTTTTCCCCCTGTAAGAGCCAGATTTCTTAAATGGTCACATGGTGCTGATAAGAGAAACATATACATATCTTGATTCTTATGAAGAACTGATTAGCTTAATATGAAAATTATGGGTCTGATTTTGATGTATGAATGAATCTGTACATTGTGAACATATTTAAGCTCATTCTGTTTTCTACCTCTCCAGTATTTTTGAGTGTTGATTGTAGCCTTTCGTAGCATAACAAATTCTTTCCTTGTTAGGTGCGTCCGAATTTGTCTTTGGATCCGTCTAGCTGCAAGAGACAGAATTTCAGCTCTTCTAGCATCCAGCTCTGCCATCTGCCCAGCTCTGAGAAATACCTTGGTTTTCCCAATCTAACAATTTGGCAAAAGTTATAAGGTAATTTGTTCTCACCTAATCAAGTTCAATAAATTCCAGCGAGGTATTCTTGAGTCTCCACATAATATAAAATTTCAGATTCACTACCTGATAGCCCTTTAAGCCCATTTTGTCACAAATTGCAATGCATGCTGACTTCTCCTCATATCTGCACCACCAAAAGAGTTCTGGTAAATCAGAATATCGTGGAATCTTCTTCTAAATGTGATTTACAGAATTCTGTTCCATCCTAAGCATAAGAAAAATTTGGTTCTATGAAAGATAAAAGCTATCTCTAATATCCTACTATTCATAGAACAGAAGTTCAAACATGGTGGATTTTATAAACTGATGGAACCTACCCATCAAGAACATCAGGAGCTAACATCCCGAAACGATCAAGAAACTCATCAAATGTTCTCTTTGTTGGATACCCTGCACAACTAATCCTGATTGCTTCCAAGACGCCCTGAGAAATGCAGGCATGATATAGTTGTTGAGTTTAATTTTCTATTGACCAGCATAGCTTACAGCAGCTGCAGCTGAAGGAAAATGGAGGACCATTACCAGCCAAAAACTTGAAATTGAGAACTCACCCCACATCTCAGCTGGTTTAAGACATTAAAATTCTCAAATATCCCAGGCTTCAAAACTGCATTTGGCTTTATGCATCTGATATAATGTGGTTCTGTGGTGCTCAAGGTTTCCATCAAGGATTGTAGTTGTTGCTTGAAGTCAAAATGAAGAACAGATTAGGTCCTTAAAGTTCTAAAAATGGTGTATTGACATCCACTATATGGATCCTTCATAAGGGTACCTTAAAGCGCGTTCCAATGGACGAAAACTTGGACTGCTTGGATGTTTCCTCTGGCAATGATGGAAAGAGATTTGCAACAAATGGACATCTTGAGGCAGTCAAAAGATCCTGATGTTCTGCAATAACATAATCCTTGTTTTTGTCTAAGAATTGATCTGCTTGGTAAGTAACCTGTAAGGCAAATAATTTTAGGGATAACAAATGCACTGGTGGAAGATTGGATGTTTGATACAGTAGATATACTCACATCACCAGCATAATGATTGATTGTGAAATCAGTTCGAGCAAGTTTTGGCTTGCTGAAACGTTTGTGTCCTTTGTATGTCTGGTACATCTTCTGTGCGAATGTCTCATGAGTTGACTTGGGAAACATGCTGCCAAGAAAGCATGTTAGTTCACTCATGTACTCCGCTTTTATGGATGAAGTTCATAATTTTGCCTGTTTGTTTTTCTTTGTTAAGAACTAGAAATGGGAACAGAGTTGCTATAGGAAAGTACTGCTGGAAGCAGTCTGCTGTTAAAATTTTGATTTGGTAAATGAGTTGCAACAACTTGTCTCTTATAGACTCTTGAATTTCTTAGAACGAAAATAATAAAAATGAAGTTCACATACCATGCTTCATCAAGAAGAGCAATGATGCCACCAGGTTTCTGCAAATAAAGGTTATTAGTAAGCAGTACAAGTGCTTTTATTAGCCAGGTGAGTGCCAGATGATATTGTTACCTTCTCAATAAGATCCAGAACATCTTGGTTATCTACAAATTCTACATAGCTCCAGTCAATTTCCTCCCTCGTGTACTCTTCTTGTTCCATCTTGAACACATGCTGCATTTGTATTTCTCCCATTTTTATTGACTTCTGCTCTTCAGTATAGAACATAAATTTGGGTAAAGAAATTATTTTGATTCTTACCTGATTGAAATGCTGCTGTAGCTTCTCATTTGTTAGGTTTATGCACAACTGCTCAAAACTAGCATTTGAATCACTTACATAAGATGCTGATTTGTGGTTGAAGCCATAATATAGGTACAAATTCTGAACTTTGTACGAACCTGTTAATTTTGAAGGTTTCAAAGCCATATATGTCAAGAACTCCGATTATGCTTTTGGCATCCGGATCCTGACCAATGGAACTGTTTATCTTGTCCACAATCCTACAAGTGTATATAAAATATGCTTGAGTACATTTGGATTAAGCATAGTTTGTATAAGATATCTCACAACTTTAGGGCTTGAGTACCACCCCATATTTCTTAAAAACTAAATGTTACTGAAAGCTCTTAAACTATCACCCATAGCAGAAATGTTCTGTTTGATAATAAAATTGTTACCAATCAAACAATCTGGAATATATTGTCTTTGCAAGAGCATCACGGCTAGTGGTAGCTGCAGCCGGATCTAGTGGTTTTGTGATGTTTCCATCTGGAGTTACGATAACACGTTTGCAGAGTGAGTCTTCCAGTGCCTTCTTGTCGCACCTGTAGGACATAATTTTTTTTAATGAATTATAAGTTGATAGTGAGTGTTATAACTCTGTAGAAGTTACAAGGTGTTCAGAAATCAGAATGCTGACATGAGCAGCTCCGCAACAGTCTGAAGATGGTAAGCTGATTTTTCATCTTTCAGCTTCGAAGAGTCTATATCCTTCCCTTTAATGAAGTCAATGTTCCCCAGATGAAGTATAGCAGCCACAACCCGGAATATAGCATCCTATATAATCATATATATGTGAATTAGTTTACTCTATTACTGAATTTCTTCTGATATTCTTCTTAAATTGTACATGGACATTCACCTGCTCATCCTGGTTTATGCCAACAACATCCATGGCTTTTCTGGTCTCTAAATATTCTCTTGCATCGTCTACATTTGCCACTTCGTAACAGTTTGTTTGATTCAGATAATGAAAGGTTCTTGGGTCTCCAAGTTTGTACTTCTTTGCATCCTGTAGAAACAAAAACTTCAGTGCTACTGGTACTTTTATCTAGGATGATTGGAGTTTAATCTTCACTTAAGTTCTTAAAGATACCTCTGGAGGTGCTGCACACAGCATATAGAAACAATGATAATTCCTTTCTGGGTCAGAAACTTGACAAACGCGTGATCTTTCCAGTAGATATGTTCTGACAGCTGCCCCTGAGATCTTTCCATGTCTATCAAACTGAATTTCTACAAATTTTCCAAAACGACTGGCATGACCATCAAGTCATGCTATTTCTTGTTAAATGATTTGTCTTCATAGGAAATAGAGAGTATCAGAAAGGAAAATCTGTATGTTGCCAATGAGAAAGAAATGACGAGCTGCATTTTGAACTGTGTACCTAGAGTTATTGTTCTTGACAGTCTTCGCATTTCCAAATGCTTCTAGAACTGGGTTGGACTGGAAAAGTGGAGAAATTAGTCCTATTCTTCTAGTAAACCTAAACCTTATAGATGTTGGTTAACTTACTTCTAAAACTTGTTGTTCAACTGTTCTTCCTTCAGCACCAGATCGACCGCCCATAAAAGCAAGATATCTCATTAACATTTTTGTGGTCTCAGTCTTCCCTGCTCCACTTTCTCCACTGACCAAAATAGATTGGCTCTCATCTTCATTTATCATTGATCTGTCACAACGTGTTTTACACATGAGGCACAAATTCTTCCTATATTTGTTGCAATTTTAGGTAAGTTATTCGAGAAAATGCTGAATGATTTGTACCGGTAACAGGTGTCAGCAACAGCAAAAAGATGGGGACTTAGCTCTCCAAAGGCAGCTCCTTTATACTGTTCCATCATGCTGGTATCATACAAGTGTGGGAGTCTCCGGAAGGGATTAACAGCTATCAGAATGTTCCCAGTATAAGTCTGCACAATACAGGGTTGATACCAAATTAAGTCGTTCTTTATGAAAAATTACAGAGCTATAAAAAGGTTCTCTGCCAGCCTGATACTTAAGCTGCAAGAGTTGTCTTCTTACATATATCTCATTGAGACCATATCTGCATGCAAGGTTGTAAAGAACTCCAGGCTCATGGAGGTAAGCTAACTTGGTCATGTCATCAACCCCGGATGGTGGCGCCTCTGTGTCCTTTGGGTATATGCTAGAAATGGCTGCAACTATCTGAAATATATAAGATAACATGTTCAGCTCCTCTTATATGTGTAGGTTCTTACGTTCATGTCATCTTCTCTTTGAAGATTTAGATCAGTAACTGTTTCAGTTGCACCTAAATGTGGTGATCTTACATTAACAAAAGAGTGCTCGTGGTCCTCCATCCATTTTCTTCGGTCATACTAATTTGGAGAACTATTATGGATATTCTAATTTACAGTTAACAGTCTGCGATCATACTGTGATCTGTTGTCATTTATCTATCAGAAAGCATAGAAGTTGCCTGTAATCTACTTGTTTGAAGCTATATCTCTCTAGCTGATACTTAAAACAATGATGTCTGCTTGACATTTATAACAAGTACCATTATTGTCCAATATATATAGATCTGTTGCTTGAAGTATTGACAGTCCTATACATGCTTACATATAACTGTTACAATAAGTAATCTAACTTGATCAAAAGTATTAGGGCTATGAAGCAGTTATTGCTTACTGTTTTCTCATTTGCGGTAACAATGGTAGCATCTGAACCTTTGATTTCTGCCACTTGCCCATCAATCCAGGCAATTTCAGGATCCTCAACCCAGACGTGGGAGCCTACTATAATGTTTACAGGAGTTCCCTGAAGGTGTCAAGCAAAAGCAATCAGAGTAAGCATCTTTCTTTCACAATGACTACAAAATAAATCAAACATGATGAAGTCTTGATCATGAACAGACAGATATAGCTTACCATTATCGGATACTATACGATCATCGAATCAAGGCTAATGATACGAGGGCAGTGATCATGAAAATGCTCTTTCCTGCGAGAAAAAATGTGAGAAAAAAAAACAGAATGCTAATGGACTGGGGTGTTGGAATGTGGAAACCAAAAGGAGAGGAAAGAGTGTGCTGAAATAATAGTTTTGAAAGTAAGTGAAAAGCAGAGGGAATGGAGGGATGGTGGAGTTAACACCAAAAAAGGCAAAAGGAAGAGCAGGCAGCCAGCCACCGTTCGCCTCCCCAGTCCCCTCCACCCCCCACCATGCTGTCAACTTTTTTGATCTTTGATGTCCACATAGGAATCTGACTTGGACTTTTTTTTTTTTTTTCAAGCTGGCCATTCTGGTTTTGTGTTACAATTGCTTGAGCACTAAGGGTGATTTAAATTTCCAATAATCTTGTTTGAATTGTAGGGAATGTTTGTCAACTAGAGATTAATGTTGTTGGCAACCCTCTTGTGGAAAAAGTGGTCATTGTGTTTGCAATTATGATGTGTTTCCTAATTAACAGTTGTCATTTGACAGGCTCTTGTCCTAGTTAATTAAGATTATAGTACTGAGATCCATGCTTTAGTAGCTTGCTTTTACCTTTTACTTTCAGTTAATGTAGCATTGTAGCTGAAACATGCATCTTCTTGCAGAACGCATGCCCTTTATCTGGTTCAACTTTTGTGTATCAGTCGTATTTTATTAGTGAAAAGAAAACGTCGTTAACTGACTTTGCTCGAACTTTCCATGGTCAATGGAGATGAAAATCAGGAAGGGAGGATCACATAGGGATTGTAGTTGTAAAGTGTGATACTAATGTATATTCTTCATTCAACAAGTTCATAGGACACCTGGAAAGGTGTGCCTTCAATTAGGGCCCCCTCTCATTTTCATTTTTTTTTGATGAGTTTTTCTTCAAAATGGCAGCGCCCACATAGTTTACTTTTTGCTGTAGTAGTAATGATCATCTTTCTGGGCTGTGGGAATTGAAATCAAATTTCCTCGGATTGAGGACGGTGGAATATTTGTGGGTTAATGGTGAGTTGAAATCCTGGCATAATTAAATTAATTAATTTTGATTTCGCTGTTTTCACATGGGAAAAAGGCATGATGAATGTGGGTCTAACAGAGAAGCCTCCCTGTGCTTTGCTTTTCCATCAAGCTTTTTTGCATTCTTTATTAATTTTTCTTTTCTTATTCTGCGAATTAATTGGTTGTTTTTTCTTTTCTTCTAGGGTTTGCTCAAGTAAGACTAATGATTATTCTTCCCCGGGTCAGTCCCATATTAATTGTCCAATTTACCAAATTAAATACTCTAAATATGAGATAGAAAGAAGTACTCCATTTCATTTGTTCTTAAAAAAAAATTATGTTGAGTTTTTAAATTTAAATTAAAAATAATATTAATCTGAATATTAATATTAATTTTTTTTTTTTTTGGGGCCAGAGGTGGTATTTTACATACATATTCAGGAAAGAATGCTTTGGTAGTAAAGGAAATATTGAGTATATAAATTTGCAAGGATCTACAAGATTACGTCTGCTCTGGATTCTGATTTTCTATCTTTTTATTCTTATTTTTAATTCTTTTTTAAGGTTGGATTCTGACTATTTAATCAGCTCATTGTGTAGATTGTACTCCTTTTCTTAGCACAATGATTATTATTTAATTAATATCAAGCTCAACTATTGTTTAACTTCTTTCGGTCCTTTTTACTTATAAAGTACTACAAGTTGAATTACGGTTAATTTTTCGTTTATGTGTCATAATAAGACCCAACTATTAATTCCATAATCTAATGTTGAACACAGTGCCCAACAAAATGGAATTCTACTACCCTTATATATGGAAGATGAACATACAACAACAATAACTCAACATCTTTATTCATCTTTAGGACAGATTTCGAAACTGATAATAGAGGGAGACAAGTACTCCAGTTTACAATTGAATTTCGAACCTAAAATATTTATAAGGTATATTTTGATTTTTCTTAAATTTTATTTATTATATTTTTTTAGTTGAACACAAAACATTAAAAATAAATTTTTTTTACATTTATTGTATTCGCTCAAATTATTATAAAAATATTTTTAAAGCTTCATTTTCACTTAGAAAAATACAATAAATGAATATTCAGAGAAATCAAAATACCTTATAATAAAGACAAGAGAGAGTACACTCTTCGAGTTCTAGCTCTGCTTTCAGCTTTTGTTTTTCTTTTTCATTTGACATGGTCTCGTAATACAAAGACGAAATCTTTTTATGTATTTGTTCTTTCTCTGAAGAGGCTATCGATTTTTCCATTTTAAATTTTGTGCTGCCGCTATGGTCACATATACACATCAAACAATATTAGTTATGTTTTATTTTAATATGTTGCAACTAAAAGAATAGGTCGGGAATTTGTTTTGGACTTGATCATCCAATATGAAATCATTTGTTAATCTGTTAGGCTTTTCTTTTTCTGAATTTCGAGAAACATTTTTGGAAGGAATTTTCATAACTCAACCTTCCTATAAAATACTCTCTTTGGTCTACGTTATAGAGAACGATTTCGAACAAAATCTTGTGTTATAGATCACCTTAAACATTAACCCAAAAACATAAAAAAGGAAATGCACTTTAAACTCTTGTGTTGTTTTTTAATTTTTTTTCCCTATTGAGTTCACACTAAATTATGTCTACAATTTGTTTTTGGTTTTCTTGGTCGCAATTTCATCTAAAATATTTTCCACAAGTTTATTGGCATTGACGGTTCATTTATAATTTTTTTTTTCGGGGTAAAAAACTCCCCTCGAAATCATATTGATATTGATAATGTACCTATATACCCTTTGTTTTTTTTCCTGGTTTTGGAGTATAAACTTGCCTTAATCGCTTTATAGAAATTCTTCCAACTCTGTTCTTCAATATGAAACTCTTCTTGATAGCGAACATTTTTCTTAAAAATACAAATTAGTGATGGTTTAAGGCATTTTCATCCTTTTATAGATTTTAGAAAATCCCTCTTGGTAATAATTTGCTCAATACAATCTAGTGAACATGCAGCCTCGTGATTGTTTCTTTCACGGCCTAATCTTCTTTTGGGACCAAAAAAATCACAATATTTACTATTTGAAGTAATCAAAACAATAATAATTATTATTATTGGAAAAATCCATTTTCGATGTGCCCTAGGAAATTTTTATCAATGATTTGCTTGCTTTCTAGAATCTGTTCATGTAGTACTCAAAAGAGGCAGATAAGGTTCCACCCCATTAACTTGACGAGCTTATATATATTGATACATGAAAAATATATTCTTTCTCAAGGTCTGAAAAATAGAGCTAAAAATTGTTTTTTTATTTTTTGAAGATTAATGGAGTTCAAAGAATTCACGTGTTCTTGTTGCATGTTATTGCTCATTGGGATGACTCTATGTAGTGGTTCCAGGTTGAGCCACTTCGACCAGAGTACTCTTGTCAAGTCAATTAAGGTTGTTTATTTTTTCTTAATTATTTCTTTAAGAAAAATTAGTCGATTTTAATTGTTGATAGAATGTTTTAGTCTGATAAAATGAACTTAAGTACACTGTAACGTTTTTCTGTGCTTCACAGAGTAAAGATGGCGATGTGATAGATTGTGTGGACATCTCTAATCAGCCAGCATTTGATCATCACCCTTTGTTTAGTGACCTTAATGCTCAGGTTAACACTAAGAGATCAATAATGCAGTCATGGCAGTTAGATGGAACTTGTCCTGATGGAAACCATTGCTGTTAGACGAACAACACAAGAAGAAATAAGAGGAGCTAACTCAGATCAATTTTCATGGAAGCAAATTTCAAGTGACCACATTCGACGGAAAACCGAATACTTTTTCCAGCATTAGATGTTTCTTTTAAATTTCACAGACACGGTATTAATTGACATTTGAAAATTAATATCTAGGTTACTGATTTCTTCAATATTATCAGTATTTAGTCGTTATGTACGCACATAATGTATAGTAGACACGTTAGACATGTTATCTTAAGTTTAGTAAGTTGCTAAAGAAAAACAAAAGTATCAATAAGAAGCTTATTTCCATTCATGCAACACACAACAAAATTCTAAATTTAAATTATTCCAGGATTTTATTTGCATTTATTGATGCTTGAATTTTGTATAATTTAATTTTGGTCTCGCATTGATTTTCATTTTTATATATACAATAGTTTGCAGCTGTATACGTGAAAGGGGGAAGAGTACTACAGAGGAATGGCTTTTCTAGACATATGGGCTCCCAATGTTAGGCCCAACGATGACAGTAAATCGGCAATTTGGGTTATTGGAGGTTGGAGGACTTCCGATTTCAACGTGATTATAGCTGGTTGGATGGTTAGTTCTCTTCTATATTACAGTGTTTAATACTCAATTCGTTGTACAAAAATAATCCGCACTATAAATTATATTGAAAGTAACAGTATAAAATAAAGATAAAAGAAATTACATTTTTAGTTGATAGTATATCTCACTCTCTTCGTTCTTTAACATAAGCAATTACAACAGGTGTATCCAAAACTGTAAGGAGGTAATAGAACAAAAATTTTTACTTACTGGGTTGTAAGCATCACGAAATCCATACCTTTAATATCAATATTTATATTGTGGGAGCATCTACAAATTAAATTATTTTCCTTTCTCTCTCTCAAATATGTGAAAAAAAACATTAACTGGGTGGCGATGATCAGCCATCTGGATGTTAGGACTTGCAATGTCCAGGTTTTGTGCAGATCAGCAATGAATTTGCATTAGGAGCTCCTTTTGTTGTTGTTTCTAAGGTCGACGAAGGTTTGCCAACTAAATTTCCTTTGGTTATCTCTAAGGTAATATAATCAAAATGATTTTTGTTTTTTTTACAAAATCAATTTGAAAAAATGAGTTTGAGAGTAAAAACATTTTTGAGGTAGTTTGATAAACTAGGGAAGTTTACAAGTCAACAGCTAGACATCCAGTTGGGATTTGTGTTTTGAGCAAAGTCTTGATTTGTTTACTGATAACATAAAAATATATACACTTTTAGCAGGTATTTCTTACTCATTTCTACTTATAATTTAGTGTCAATTAGTTAGGATTAGTTTAATTTTAGGGTGATTTTACAGTTCAGGTATCTTGGAGGGTCAATATGAAAAATTAGTATAAAAGAGGGCCAAATTGCACAAAAGGGCATCAAAATGGACTGGAATGGAAGCTGCTGGAAATTGAGCTGCTAGAGGATCAATCAGAGCTGAAGCAAGTGGAGAAATCCTTGCTGTGAAAGAAAGATTGATAGCAAATGGATTCAAGGGGAAGAATCTGCAGTAGCTACCTCAATAGAGGAAGAAAAAATGGCAGCTGCTCTGCTGCCAAGTTGATGCTGCAGTTGCTGTTACTACTGTCAATCAGGAAGAGCCAAGGCTGAATTCTTGCTGCCAAAGGAAGGAATTGCTTCGCCATCACTGCAAGTTATAGCTGCTGCAAGTTGAAGAAGGGAAAGAGGGAGAATATGTAGAAAACAACAACTACAACCTGGTACTTGCCTGTTGTGACTGCTGCTACTGAATTGATGGATTGGTTGTTGTAGTCAGGTGAGAAATGTTGTTGCAAGTGATCACAGGAAAAAGGAAAAGGCAAAAAGATTTAGGCTGAATAGGGAGCTGAAACATAATGATGGAAGGAAGCATGCTGCTGATGCTGCTACTTGCTACTGCTGCTAGTTGAGCTACTGTGGATTAAAGAATGAAAAGATAGAGATTTGTGGCTTGAAATTAGAGAAACGGCACCGAAAAAGAAGACTAAAAGAAGAAAGTAATCATGAGAGGAAGGTGGCTGATTGCGGCTGAAGAGAAAGAGTAGCCAAAGAGAAGACTGCAACTTGCCAACTAGGCAAGTTGCTGAATAAACAAACCTCTACTGCTGCAAATTGCTATCTCGCCTTTCTGTTGTAGAGAAGAAGGCCAGAGACCAACCAATCCAAACTTCTCCAAATCTTTATAAATAGTCAGCTAATAGCAGTTAGAAAAACAACAGATTAGGTAGTTATATTTAGTCACAAAGACAGTAGTTAGGTAGTTAGTTAGAGGGTTAGAAACATGGTAGTAGCAGGAACAAGGAGCCAGACTGTCACTTTGTCAAGTGGCGAACGCCACTCGCCATAGTAAGCAGACAGAAACTGTCCCTACTATCATCTTCCCTTTCTTTCCCCTGGCCTTTTGATCTAGATTCATGTCTTATCTTTGGTACTTTGTTGTTCTCATGTTTAACTCAATAAACATGAGTAACTAACTCAGTTAAGGGTTTAATCTCTACTATCTTTATGTGAACGTTTTGATTCAGTTTCCGAGGTGTTGTGCCTAGATAAGTGATTTAATTAACCTTTTAATTAACTTGGCCACTTAATTAAATGTGCTTGCATGGTTATGAAGATCTGAAAGGGGGGAGCATAACCTTAGAACTGCTTAATCTAGTCTATGACAATGGATAAATCTACCTTGTGATTCCAAACATCAACGAAAGTTAGGTGAATGGCATAGACGATCAAAGAGGGTTTAAGAACTCAATGGCTTAGATTATGAATTACTTTGACTGGAAGATATGTGATTTAGATAATATAGGGCTCTTTATTCAGTCTGGAAGGAATTATAAAGAATATAAGTGCCTGATCGAACAATTAATCATACACACCAGGAATATTTGAATCAAAATCGGATCATAAAGGTAGGAAGATGATTGAACCTTCTACCTCTTCACTCTGTTAAGTGACTATTCTTTACTCCCAAGTGACAATCTGTTCAACTCATTGTCTTTCTTTTCTGCACTTTAATTAGATTTTAATTGGTTGACTGCTGTCTCTGTGAAACAACCCTGCTTACCACTAACTAATAGTTTTAAGTAGGTTTATAAATCTTTCTTTTGGGAAGTGGAACAACGTCAACAAACAAAACAACACCCACCAAAAGTGGCGCCGCTGCCAAGGATGGCGTTAAAAATCCTTGAAGTCTGATTATTGTGTTCTGTTTTCGTTCTTTTTAGTTTTTTAATTTCATTCAAGTTCACTCACTCAATCAATCAAAATCTTTTGTAGTTACTTTCATGATTTGATTACTGCTTTATGACTAGAAGCGATCCTTCTGGAGAGCTGAGTTTTGACCCAGGAATCGAAGTCACGATGAATAGATCAAAATCCTTGCGAAAAAGAGAAGCTGCTGCTCGAGTTCCTAAAGAAGATCAGAAGCCAATGGTAGAAGTAGCAGGAGCTGATCGAAATCAAGAAGGAGAGCTACAACCAGCTCAACCAAGACTGCTAAGAGATTATTTTATACCCTAAGAGGAAGAAGTTCAGACTCCACTGGTGTACAATGATGTTGCAGCAGGGCTACAACTAAGAAGGCATGAGTGTTGGAGCTAGATGCTGCAACTCACTTGCAAGCGCAGATGGCAACCATCACCAGTGAGATATCAAATCTAAGAGCTGACATCAACAAACCAAAGATTGATGTATGTGAGGTCTGCACAGGATCTCACCCCAGTTCTACCTGTTAAGCCACTATGGAAGAAGTTTGGTTCGTGAGGCAAGGAAATGATAGAGGAGACTTCAACAACTACAACAATTGGAGGCCACAACAGAATAACAACTGGACCAATAAGCAGACGAGCTATTAGAGATCAGCTCAGCTACCTGAATTTCAAAATCAAACATTCAGAGTCAAGGAAGAAGACTAGATCAAGGTTGGTAATGTCCTTGCTAGTCTTGATGCAACTGTAAAAGATATGCAAAATCAGGTTGCACAAATGACAAGAAGATACCAGACAGACCTGCTGGCACTCTTCTGAGTGACATAATGGAAAATCCCAAGAGAAGGAAAGCACACAGCACAGATCAGAAGGCTGAGATGCAGCACAAGAAGGTGTTGCAATTGAAGAAACCAGAGTAAGGAGCACAATCAGTCTGGCATGAGACGTTAAACCAATGCGCTGCTTGGGAAACAACCTAAGGTAAGTTATTTTATTCTTCTTAGTTTTGTTTCAATTTTCTTTGTTAATTAATCAATCTGTTGGTAGCAATCAGAAAGAGTGGTGGCACTCTTATAAAAATTTTTTAGGTATACTTGTGTGGATAATCAACCTAAAGTGCCTTGCCGACTATGACCAGGACAACAACATTTCAGTGTGATTATCTAACAAGAGCAAGAGACAGAGATCGATAGTCTTCATAGGGCGAGTGCCAAAATCACTTTCGCAATCAAAATGATTGATCCAGGGAAACCTTGTAAACAAGCACACCTTGTATTCAGACTCATGAAAAAAACGATGAAGACCAGAAACTCACTCTTTAGAGTGTCACACTCCGCCTCGCAAGTAAAAACGATTGACTCTGGGAACAGGGAAGTCAACATATGGGAAAAAAACTACGATGGAAGGAGAAGGGGAAAAAAATCAATTTTAAAGACTCCCTGATGTGATTGGCAAACAGAAGAGGTCAGGAATAAAATTTTTCTCAATAAAAACTGCCGCCCATGACCTCCATAGCCATAAAGGCCTTCAGCACTCTTCCATCTTCCAAAATCAAAGAATTGACCACAGATATCTGACCGAAGCCATAACCTAAAAATGGTGAGAAAAAGACAAAGGGCAAGAAGAAACATTGTGCTAGTAAAAGGGGCGGCTATGGCACCACCAAATCTACAGGAGCAGCCACCCAGAGAAGAACGAGACGCCCACAGGTACATCATTCAGAACATAGCTACATCTGGGCAACTGGTGAACCAAGTAGCGGCAGACTTCTTTCGAAGAAATTGGGAAAGGCAAGCAATTATGGAGCGAGGCATGGTGGGTCTGCCAGATCCAAATTCTTACTTAGCACTCCATCACTGGGAAGGATTATGCACTATCACAACCTCGCCCAACCTCAGGGCAATGAGAGAATTCTACATCAATCTCAGAGGAGACCCAAAGGATGAAATCACTGTAAGAGGACAAGTAGTCAACATCAGCATAGAAGCAATTAGGGAAGTGCTCCATCTCCCAGAAGCAGATTTCAACTATGCGGATCGAGCTTACAAGCGATGGGCGACCCTATAGAAGACGAATTACCATATGCACTATGCTCAAAATCTGGAAAGGTGAAGTGGTCAAAATGCAATGGCCTACTCAAGCACTTTCCGGCTTCACATCTAAAATCGGAATATAGGTGGTGGTACAACATGATATGCACCAACATAATGCCAATGAGGCATCACAAAAAAGTGCCCTTTGAGATGGCTATTATGCTCTATGCCCTGGTCCTCAACATCCCAATTGATGTAGCTGCAGTTATTAGGGAGCAGATGAGTATCCGTGTCAACAATCCAAGGGAGAAGGACTGGTTTTTTCCAGTATTGGTGACAAGACTAATGCAGAGAGACCATGTGCAGTTCCTACATACCGATGTCAGGGGAGAAATGCCACCTCCATGGAATATGGAAGGACCTCCCCACCCATACATGAACCCTTAATCACCCAGGGGAGTACTCTGTTCCTCTGTTTTTCTTTTCTTTTTCTTTTCTTTTATCTTCTGTTTCTTTTAATTAGGTCTGTTTTTGTGTTCTTCTGTTTTGAGTTTATGCATCTAGAGTCCTTAGATTGAGTCAACTTTGTATGATGATTTTTTTTGTTTTCTAGTTGAATTGCATTTCTGTGTCTTCCCTTGCATCTCTGTTGTAAGCATTGGAGACAATGCTTATTTAATTTTGGGAGATGGATTTGTATGTGTTGTATGTTTTAAAACTTTGATAGGATCATTTTGAAAAACGAAAAAAAAAATCTTTTTTTTTTCTGTGTGTTTATGAACAAGTTGCTGTACATACTGTGTCATAAGTCTATGATGATTCAAAAAGTGCAGGAAATTTTGAAGTTTTGGACACTTGCTGATTCACTTGAAGTATAGTTCACAGTTCTTCATTTTCTCGATCACAGTATGTCACTTGCCAGAGTGAAGGTTCTGCACTTAATGTTG